TGTGAGACCGACCTCGGGGGATCTCGGGCAAGTTCGGGCGATCTCCATCATTCTCGGGTGATCTCGACGCCTTGCGCAAGCCCGTCTTGAGGCGCAGCTCGGGCGTGTCGCGCACGCGGCCCTGCTCGACGTTGACGCCGAGCATCCAGCGGCCGTCGCCCTGCGGGTGCGCGTGCGCGTGGAGGCTTAGAGTGCGGTCTAGGCGCTGAGGACGGGGCTGAGGGTGAAAGGGGGGAGAAGCGCGCTGCGGTCCAGCCAGCAGGCACTCTCCTAGAGCTCCCGCCGCCCCTTTCGCCCCGGGCCCCCCCCTTGCCTGTTCGTGCCAGCCCATCCAGTCGAGGTACTTCCACTCTGGCAGCGGCACCCACGGCTCGAAGCGGCGGCCGTAGTACTTTTCGGTCAGCGTGCGGAAGTCGTCAATGCCGAGCGTGTGGACGAGGTACTTGAGTCGCGCGTTGGAGCGGACCTGCCCGAGCGGCGAACGAGGATAGGGAGAGGGGAGGGGGGGGCGAGAGAAGGGCGCGGAGAGGGGAGGGGGAGAGGGCAGAGGCGGTGAGGGAAGGAGGGGGGGGGCGGGGGCGCCTCGCGGTTGCCGTGGTCGCGCTGCACCGCGAGGATGGCCTTCATCGCCTCGAAAAAGTGCTCCTTGGGCGCAAAGCCGAGGTGCGACGCCGCGCGCGCAAAGGTCTGCTCCGCCTTGTGCGTGCGGCCCATGCCGCCGCCGACGACGATGTTGAAGCCCTTGAGCGTCTTGCCTGCGCCGCCACGCGGTGCCCGCGGCTCAGCTCTGAGCGGCTTCGGGAGTCGAGTTCGCGCCGCCCCCCACAAGCACGGGAGGGGGCGCGCAGGGAGCGCGTGTGGAGAGCGGGGGTGGCGAGATTGGTTCTCTCGAAGGCCGGGGGTGGCGAGATTGGTTCTCTCGAAGGCCGATTCGGACGGTGGGGTGGGGTGGGGAGGTTGCGAGGTTGGGGGTGGGTGGGTGGGAGGCGGGTTGTGTGTGGGGGGTATCGCTAGCGTGCCATCAGGCTCGAGGATGACCACACAGCCGATGTCGTTGATGTAGAGGTCGACGCCGTTGTCGCCCGGCACGGTGAAGGCGATCTTGAACTTCTTTGGCAGGTAGGTGCGGCCGTACAGCGGCTCGATGGTGTGCCTGCGGGCAGGGCGACGGGGGCATGTGGGGAGATGTGGGCGAGATGCGGGCGACCCTCATGTGGGCGAGATGTGGGCGAGATGTGGGCGGAGATGTGGGCGAGAGATGAAGATGTGGGGAGATGTGGGGAGATGTGGGGAGATGTGAGCCAAGAGATGATGGCTTCGAATGATGGCTGTCGTCACGTTCATGTGCAGTGGGAGTGTGCGGTGATGCGGCAGACACAATGCGGTGACGTGGCCATACGATGGGGTGCAGCTGGGTGCGTGTCCTCTCGAGCGCCACTTTGGAAGGCAGGGAGTGCCACTTCCGCATCTAAGAGTGCGGCGTGCCCGGTGATGATGCCGTTGCCGCGGTCCTCTGTGCGCACCTGCAGAAGGCGTGACCGAGCCCAGCACGGGGGTTGTGGGCGCCGAGGCGGACGAGGGAGCAGTAGAAGTAGCGGCTCCATCCTCCCTCAACCCATCTCCCTGCTTCACGCCTCTCGCCCAGGTCGACTCCGAGCTGCTCCTCCATCGGAGATTGCTATCTCGGTGAATCTCGACTAGGTTCGACCTCGTCGAGGTCGACTCCGAGCTGCTCCTACAGAAGCGACGGTGGCGGCGGCGTGGGGGGCGGCGAGGGCGGTGGTGGTAAGGGCGAGGAGGGCGGCGGAGGCAGCGGTGGCGGCGGCGAGGGGGGCGGCGAGGGTGGTGGCCAGGGCGGCGGCGGCGAGGGCGGCGGCGACGCGGCCCCGGGTCCAGATCACACACGAGAATGGACAGTCGAGACTGGGCTGGCAGCGAGCGACGGCCGGAAGGCTACTGGGTTCGAGGGGAAGGCACGCGCGCGACAATGGCCTCGGTGAGTGAGCTCTCTCCAACGAGCCCCGTAGGCAGGTCGCTAGCTAGGAGCCAGCCTTCCCAATGTCGCGCTGCCAGTACTCTGTCTTGTCGGCGGGCTGGCCGTCGAGCCAGATCTCATAGAAGGCCTGCGTCATCGGCTTGAAGAGCTCGGCCATGGCCCGCGCGTACTGGCCGCAGTACTCGTACGCCGGGTTGTTTGGGAATGACACCGGAGGCGTCATCACATTGCGCGAGATGTCTCCGCACCCGCCATACCTGCAGGCACAACGAGGCTCCAAAGTCGAGGCCTGGGTCGCCGTCCACCGCACCACGTTAGGGCTGCCGGCACACAACACGGGCACACCGACGGTTGGGTCGCCGTCCCGTGCTCTCAGCGCATCGCGAGCAAACAAGCGGCTACAGCTGTACCACCTTCGTACTCATACTATGCGTTTCTCGTACCATCATGCCTAAGCTTGAATGCGACAACCGCCGAGCGCGAGAGCGGGGGGGAGGGGGGGGGGGGGGAGGGGGCTGTGTGTCGCATCTAAAAGAGCGTCACGTGTTTGAACCGATGTTTGCAATCGAGGCGATCACGCTCTTGAGGTTGCCCTTGAGGACACCGTGCAGCTGGAAGGCCTAGTGACGAAGGCACGGGATGTGTGGCAGCCCAGCTGGCGGAGGGTGTCTATCTGTGGTGCCTGTGTGTCGCTCCAGTGTGCCGTCTCTCCCTCGCTAGCGGCCTCTTCAGCCAAGTGTCCGGTCGTGGCCTGTCCTCTTCTCCTCCCCTTCTCCTCTCTTCTGCTCACTCCTCTCTACTCTCTTCTCCCCTCTCCCTCTGCTCGTCTTCAACGTCTCTTCTCTTCTCTCATTCCTGCCGCGTCGTCGCGCGTAGGTCGCCGTGCCCCCACTTGTTGCTGATGTCGTCCAGCTCGGCATAGAGAGGGCCCGGCACCTGGGAGGGGTACGGTCACAGTCAGGTAGACTTCTCCACACACACGAGGGGATGGGGCGAGGCCCGGGCGACCCTCGCACAGCTGCACAGACAGGCAGGAGCTGGCTCGGCATTCAATGTGCAGCGCCCAGTGCACGCGGGTGGGCATCGCCCCTCCCTCTCCACAAGGCGTCGGGAGGGTGGACTGGGTGAAGGAGCGGCAGGCGAGAGGGAGAATGAGAGGCGGCAGGCGGGCGGTGAGGAGGCATCGAGAAAGAGAGAGGGGAGGAGAGAGAGACGGCGAGCAGGATTTGAAGACGGCGGCAAGGTTTGGCAGGCGCCTCCCCGCATGGCATCTTGAGCCGCAGCATGAACTGGTACGAGTGCTGCTTGTCCTTGCCCTTGAGGGAGCGGTCCTGCTGCATGTACGAGCCGTGGTGTTTGAGGATGTGGATCGAGTCCTTGCCGACGAAGATCTCGTCGTCCCCCATGTCGGTCCGCAGCGGCTCCTGGAGCAGTCCGCTCGCAGCCTTCACCACCTGCACGTGCTCCTGCGTCTCGAGGTTCGTCCACGGCTTTGGCCACGCGTGGGCGGGCTTGGTCGGCCCGTATACCTGCTTCTCGCCGAGGTCGTCGAAGACAGCCTGGCCACCGTCGTCAGGCTCCATGCGCACCGCCCTCGCCCTCAAGCGCCGCGGCGCGGAGACCGCGGACCCGCCCGGGAGGAGGGAGGGGTGAGGCGGAAGCAGCAACAGCAGCATCGATGTGTGCCTCCCACGCGCCGCAGCCGACTTTCCTGAGCGAGGAGTGCCCAGAGAGTGCCTCTCCCCAAAAGAAATAAACGAAACCCAGTGGGAAGGGGCCCTAGCTAGCACTGTCCCTCTGTGTTCGTGCGTCGCCCATCTCTCCTGGAGATGTCTGCTCTATTTATTTATTTATTAGCTATGCTCTATGCACGGTAACATGTAAGCCAAGTAGGTCTTTGCGGCGCGTACCTCCGCCCGCGCCGCCCAGCGGCGGGCTCCGTAACGCCCGCCTCCTCGATCGCTGCCCCGCGCTCTACCTGCCGTCTCGGCTTGGCAACCCGCTTGGGCTACACCCTGCAGCCTGCACTGGGCCGATGCGTCGGCGCGACACCCTCCTCTACTCCTAGCTCGGCTCTAGCCCAGCGCCGCGTTGAGCGAGGCCAGCCCGCACTTTCGCATCACGTTGGCGTGGATGTCGCCGTTGGTCGCGATCGCGCCGACCACGTGCGCCGGCAGCGCCGTGCCCTCGCGGCAGACCTGCGGTGGGGGGAAGTCTCGGGGTCGAGTACTCATTGAGTCTCTGCCTCGCTGCCTTTGCCGTCACCCCCGCCCCCGCGTGGGCTCAGACCGGCGGCGCGTGCTAACTGCGTGGCACGCGGTGAACTCGGCGCAGATTGGAGGGGCAGCTGCCTACTCAGGCTGCGCCTACTCCTCTACTACCGCCAGACCGAAAAGTCGAGCTCGTTGCCCGCCGGGTCGGTGACGCGCCCGCCGGCCTCCTGCACGAGCAAGACGCCCGCCGCGTGCGCCCAGACGTTGCGGTCAAACGCCTCGGCCGCGTCGGGCAAATCAAAGTAGGCCATCGCCTCGCCGCGCGCGATCAGCCCGTAGGCAAACGGGCCTTTGGCTTGCAGCGGCTCGCCGCTAATGCCGAGCTCGGAGGCGAGGGCGGCCGCGCGGGGCTGCGCCGCCGCCTCGCAGCGGATGACCTAAGTCTCAGAGGATGAAGGCTCAAGAGGAAGTCAAGGAGAAGAAGGATGCTCTCCTGCGCAGGGCTCATTCGGCTCACCACAGAGGGGCTGAGGCTAAGTTCAACGGTGCCTTGGGTTGGAATGAAAATGAAGCAGGAACGCTTACGGACCTCAGCGCCGAAGTCCTGCACGCCGGTCGTCTTGTCCACGGGCAGCGGGCCGTTGTCCCGGTCCGGCCGCGTCCACGCCGTGCCGACAATGTCTCGCCGCCCGATGAGCGCGCGGTCGACGCGGATGCGCACGTCGGTGCCGTGCTCTCCTGTTGAGTGTGGTGATTCAGTCAGTCATCAATCAATACATGTGTGCATCCGTTCTCCTCGGCCCCCTCGGGGGCTGTGCGCAACGCACGAGGCGAGGGCAGGGGGGATGTGTCCAGTCGCGGCGGCTTGTGATCTCGCATCCCACATCTCGGCACATCGCATCTCGTCACGACTCGGCTGCACCTCCCACCGACCGCTCGTACGCGCCAATGCCCTGCTCCGCCCACATGAGGCTCCCCATCGGCGGGGGAACGGCGCCGCTCTGCCCGTCAAAGGAGACTGTCATGCGCAGCAGCTTCTCGCCAGACATTGAGTTTCGCGGCAGGTTGGGGAGGGCGATTGCGCACACGACGGGCCGGCCGTACTCGAGGAGGGAGAGGGAGATGGCGGGCTGCTCCGCCTCGGCCACCGGGCTCAGCACCCACGTGCGCGGCCCGAGACCCGCGCGCACGTTTCGCGTCAGTGCAGCGGCCAGGCCGGCCTCGTCCTGCGGAGCACTGGAGCAGGGTATCGTGCGGTGGATTCGGGGTGTCGCGTGTGAGCTGTGAATTAGAGCGGAATGCAGCTGGGATACAGCTGATTCGTGTCCTCTCGAGTGCTAGGCCAGAAACCACGGATCTGTGCTCGGCATCTCGGGGGCCTCTGCCGTTTCGAGCGTGGCGACCGGGTCAGGGTACGGAGGCACAAAGGCATTGACGCACGGTGTGGTCGCGCCGAGCTCGTTGGCAAGTGCGAGGGCAGCCTGCCGCGTCTCGGCGTCGCAGCCGGCGAACGACTCCGCGCTCTCCGCCGCCATGACCGCGTCGCCCTCAAACTCGGACGCGAGGCCGTCACACACGAGAGCCTGAGTGGCAAGGTTGACTGCCGCTACGGGTGCTTTGCCCACGCCGGCCGCGGCGCGAGAGACGAGCTGCAGCGCCACGTCCACCTCGCGGGCGAACGGAGAGGAGCGCTTCGGGAGCCAGGAGCGCTTGTCGACCTTGGGCTTCTTCGCCATCAGGCAGGCTCCGGGAGCGCGAGCCGGGTTGGCGCGAGCCGAGGCGGGAGCCGAGCGCAGGGCGGCTCGGGCATCGAACGTCAGCGCGAGGGTCGACGCGGCGAGGAGGAGGCTGGGCAGGGATCGCAGCATTAGCGCTGATGGAGCCAAGCGCGGAGCGTGGCAGCAGGGGTCGGGGGTGTGCTTGGAGTGCCGGAGCGGCAGATTTTTCTTTTTGGCAGGGTTTGTTTTTGCGCGCAACGCCTTCTTTTCTCGCAATGACTGCCCCTCGGCGCTCGAGCCGCCTCGCGCCACCTCCGCCGCCGCTCCCTCGCCAGACACGCCGCCGCCCGCCCGCCTCCTCGACCTCCCCACGGACCTCCTCGTGCGCATTGTCTCTCGCTGCGACCCCCTTGACATCGCTCGCGTCGCGGCCGTCTCTTTCACGGCTCGCTCGCAGAGCAGGGCATCCGCTTGTGGGCGCAAGAGCGCGGCCTCGAGCTGCCGGCGCAGCCGGAGGGCGAGAGCTGCGCCGTGCGGTGGCTGTGCTATTCGGCGCTTCTTCGCGAGTCCAACCCGCCGGCGAGGGCGGCGGCAGGCGAGCGGCACAGCGTCTTCATCGACGGCGGGGGGCATTTGTCGTCGTGCGGGTCAGCGGCAACGGAGGGCGAGGAGGTGGAGGAGGAGGACGAGGAGGCACCTTTTGGCGTTCTCGGCCACGGCGAGGGCGTGACGCAGCTCAACACGCCGACCCGGCTCTCCTCGACTCCGGGTGACGAGCGCGCCGTGAGCGTGTCGGTTGGACATGGCCACAGCCTCGCCCTCACCGCCGGCGGCGCTGTCTGGAGCTGGGGCTGTGGAGACTGGGGCCGGCTGGGCCACGGCGACGAGCAGCTGCAGCTGCTGCCCAAGAAGGTCGAGGCCTTTGCTGGCCAGCGCGTCGTCGCTATGTCGGCTGGAGACTGCCACAGCCTCGCCCTTACCGCCGACGGCGGTGCCTGGAGCTGGGGCGATGGAGACTATGGCCGGCTGGGCCACGGCGACTGGCAGGACCAGCTGCTGCCGAAGAAGATCGAGGCGTTCGCTGGGCGGCGCGTCGTCGCTGTGTCAGCTGGGTACCAACACAGTCTCGCCCTTACCGCCGACGGCGCTGTCTGGAGCTGGGGTGAGGGATCCTATGGCCGCTTGGGCCACGGCGACAGGCAGACCCAGCCGCTGCCTAAGAAGGTCGAGGCCTTTGCTGGCCGGCGCGTCGTCGCTGTCTCGGCTGGAGTCTACCACAGCCTCGCCATCACCGCCGACGGCGGTGCCTGGAGCTGGGGCCATGGCCGCTTGGGCCATGGCGACATGCAGCGCCAGCTGCTGCCCAAGAAGGTCGAGACCTTTGCTGGCCAGCGCGTCGTCGCTATGTCGGCTGGAGACTGCCATAGCCTCGCCATCACCGCCGACGGCTCTGCTTGGAGCTGGGGCCATGGATACTATGGCAAGCTGGGCCACGGCGACTGTCAGCAGCAGTTTCTGCCGAAGAAGATCGAGGCGTTCGCTGGGCGGCGCGTCGTCGCTGTGTCGGTTGGGAAATACCATAGCTTCGCCATCACCGCCGACGACGCTGTTTATGCTTGGGGTCTGGGCGAAAGCGGCTGCCTTGGCCACGGAGAGGACCTGTCGCACCAGCAGCTGCCCAAGAAGATCGAGGTGTGGGCGCTGGGGCAGTGAGGCAAAGCAATGTACGGTACGGCTAGCTAGTATGGCAGGCTAGGTGTTTCATCTCAGTTAGTGGCTCATCTGCTCTAGAGGCGTTGAAGCCAGTGGCCCGCGGTGTGTGTGTGGGGTGTGTGAGACTCACTGAGTCAGTGAGTGTGAGCATGACATGATGAACATGAAGCATGAGTGCGCCCCCTGGCGGACGATTTTCTTTTCTCGCCTGTTTTTTGCAAACAACTCTTTTCCTTTTTTCCTGGGTTCTGTTCCAGGACTCGCCGGGGCTCCGCCCCAAGAGACCTCTGCGCTCTGCGGGAGACTGGACACTGGAGGTGCCAGAGGTGGAGAGCGTGCATGCCGGTGCGTGTGGGTGCACGTTCTGTCGGCTTCTGGGTCCCTGTCGTGCTGCTCCAAACGTAATCACATTAGTCATTACGGCGTTGTGTGTGCCTCTACTCGCCAGAGTCTTCGCACAAACGCACCGGCTGGGGGGCGGGTGGGTGTGAGGGAGCAGCGGGCACATTGCACACGCGGAAGAAGCGCAAGGCTGGCTGCCGGCTGCACGGGGGACGGTGCGCCTCAAGCCTCACGCGACTAGAGCCAAATTACGGAAACTCTCGAGGAATGGTTCGCCATACTCCGCGTCGGTTACGCTCGCAGTCGCGGCCGCGCGATCGAATAGTGGCGCCTTGTATGCCATCCACAGTTCGGAGAAGGATGGCTCCATGTTCATGTACTCGCGCGAGCGTGGCAGAACGGACCAGGTCAGTAGCCGCGGGATGTGCAGATCGTCGCGCTCGCAATCTGCGATCAGCGCCCAAGCGCTGTCAAAGTCCTCCTGAATGTCGTCGTCGTCACCGTCGTCGGCACTGAGCTTCACCTGAATAAACTTCAGCGTATCGTCGTGCGGGTGGTTCTCTGGTGCGTAATTGTAGTTGGCAGCTATCCACCCGTACGGGTCCTTGATGATGGTCATAACCTGGTCATAGTCGGTTGGCAGCGTCGGGAAACGAACCGACCATTCGGTATCGTCGCTCTCGTGCGCCGTCTCACGTTGGCCGAACGTGCGATGTATCGCAGCCTCCCAGTCTTGCGGCGTGTACCTGGCTCCGCGGTAGCCAGGCCCGACGCTGGCACGGCCGCCACGGTAGTCCGGATTGCAGCTTGGGACTGTGCCATTTTCCGGCAAGCCAAGCGCCATATCCATATGCACGAGGCGCGCGCCGCCCCGGAGTTTAATCAGCCGGAGGCGCGAGATAAGCTGCCATTGGAGGACGGCGTCATCGCTGGGCACTTCCAACAGCCCTGGCACCGCCACAGGGAAACCGCGTGCGGCGTACTTGGCGAGCCGGAGTTCGTACGACGGCTGCCGCGGCCACGCGTGCAACGGATTCAAGAGCGTGCGTGACTTCTTGAAGGCCGCTAGCGCGCGCGGCAGAGCCCACACCGTCATGTTGTGCACGCTAGCAGCGACGGAGGGGTTGCGGCTTTCTGGCCCAAAGCCAACGCAGCAGCAATCGACATCAAAGCCACAGAGAACTTCCGACGGGCTTTGGTAGATGCGCAGGATGATCTGCACGTCGAAATTCTCCCAAACCTTGTAAGTGCCCCGGTATCCCTCCCGTTCGATCTGCCGTCGACACCTGATGTTGATCGTGAAGAGGGTCCGCGTGATCCAAACGGCATGACACTTATGCTCCAGCTCGCTGCAAATGCGGCGGGACAACTCAGTAGCGTGATTTTCAGCCGCATCGCCTTTCGCACAAATGAACACGTCGACATCGCCCGATGCGAAGAACGGTCCGGCTCTGGGGTCTCTGAGCAGGCAGCGCACGACCGATCCGCCCGCAACGAACCAAGAGCAGGCACTGTCCGTTGCGCAGGCCGATAGAGCATCGATGACGCCGGGATAATACTCGCGAAAGGACTCTAGCGCCTCGTAGCTACTGCCAACGAGCTTGGACGTATCAACAGCAGGCGAGATGTGGCTAAAGCACACTGGGTAGGTGCTCCGACCTGCGGAGCGTGCTGCAGCCTTCAAGTCGACAAGGCCAAGATGGCGATTGTTAAGCTCTGGAGCGTCACGCTGTCGCGCGAACAGCCAGCGCATCGCATCCTCTGCTTGCCGGTTGTACAGATCCTCTCGCTCTAAACATGCAGCATTCACCACGTGCGCACTGAAGAGCCATGCCATCGCCGGCAGCAGCAGAAAGTCTGCCTCATCCAAGAGGGCGCTGGCCATTTCCGCCGAGACCTCATGGCTGATGAGCGGCAGCTCTCCCGCCGGCCAGCAGTTGAGGAAGCGGAACACGTGCTCATACAGCTGGCCATTCGCGCGGCTTATGCGCAATTCGCCGGACGATGCGTCCCCCAGGTGAGCCTGCTGCCGGAGCGCCGCTGCGAAAAAGGTGTCCTCGTGCTTGGACAGCACGCGGCCGGAGACAACGTACTTGTGCCTCCCGATGATCACCATCATGGGCTGCTCGTCCTGGGCCATCTGCAAATTGTCCTCGCGGATGAGCTTCTCTTCGACCACGCCTCTCGTCGCTGTGGATCCCTGCACCGTGACTCGCACCGGCACACGACCTGCGGAGTTTGCTGAGCCGAGGGTGGTGCCAGTGAGGCCATTGAGCCCGATCCCAGCTCGCGAAGTGAGCCCGTGCAGCGTGACTCTTGAGCCAGCGACGAGCTTCGCGCAGTTGGCAGAGAGTTCGGTCGTGCCGGGGTCAGCCATGTCCCCCCCCAGCGTCCCCCGTATACCAGGTAGCGCGTTGCACCATCGGTTGTCGGGTGGGTTCAAACTTGTGGGGTTGCGGTCGCAGGACCTTGAAGTGCTCGGCCCGCTGATCGCAGTCGCTCGATCGCTGGTCGGGTGGGTATGCGAGCAAAAAAGAAATCAATTCCGCAGAGGTACCTGGTACTGAGTCGGCACCGAGCCGATCCTGCCTGTACCTCTCGGCCATTCATGAGCCGCTCCTGCCTCCTCCTCTGCGCCAATTTCGCCGCGCACACCGCGGCGTCGCGGCACGCGGCGGCACCGCGCCTCGCGCCCATGCGACCTGCAGCGGCCGCTCACTTTGCGGGCAAGCGGCACGGCCTGCCACAGCTCTGTGCGGCAGACCACGACTACGAGTACGAGCTCGAGTTCGCTGCCCGGGTGACCCGCGAGGCAGGCGAGCTCGTCCAGCAGGCGTCCGAGGGCGGCGGCATCGTGGCGGCGCGAAATTACCTCAGCTTTGAGCTCTCGCACGAGCCCGCCATCTCCCTCGGCGCAGCACATTGGTTGGCGCACGTGGATGACCACGTCGTGTCGGTGGCGCTCGTGTCTGTGGAGCACGGGCCGGTGGTGGGCGTGTGCTGCCGCCACCGCTCCGACGAGATGCTCTGCGCGGCGACCGACGCGGGCACGTGGTACTCGACGGGTGACGAGGCACCGACGGCCGCGCCTGACTGCGGCATGGCATCAAAGTACGCAAACGTCGTCCATGTCCCGTTTGCAAAGAGCCCCGAGGTGGAGCTGGCGGTCGAGGCGCTCGCCGCGAGGATGCCGGTCGACGTGCAGAAGGCGCCCGCCGAGCACTGCAACTGCTGTTGCGAGGGGCTGTTTGAGCTCGTGAGCGGGTGCGAGACACTTCCGAGACACCTCCGAGACACCTCCGAGACACCTCCGACCCACGCACAGCACCGCGAGCGTCTCTTCACGCCTCCAGCGGTGAACAGGCGCGCAGACGTGCACATCGCGCCGCCGGAGCATTGCTTCGTCGGCTCAACGCCGGTCAACGTGCTTTGCGCGTTCGAGGTGCTGCTGCAGGAGTCGGGCGGCTGCATGAGTGACGTGCTGGGCAACGACATTGACTGGGCGGTCGCGATCGAGTCGGGCGCGCACCGGGGCGGCGTCCTCGCCAGCGACGCCGCCTCGCACTCGTACATGCTGCACGCGATGCACACCGACCACGCCTTTGGGGGGAGCCGCCTCTCTCTCCCCCGCCTCGCCGAGCACGTCGCTCGGGGAGGCTTCCGCGTGGAGCACGTCGGCGGCGGCAGGCACACGCGCGCACGCACGCGCGCACGCACGCACGCACGCACGCGCGCACGCACGCACGCACGCACGCACGCACGCACGCACGCACGCACGCACGCACGCACGCACGCACGCCGCTCACCCACGCGCACCGCCCTACTTTGCATGCCATGGGGCTCCTGTCCCTCTACCCAATGGATTCGTTTACCGTGCCTTACCTTAATTGCAGGCACGTCGTGCTGCCTGATGGCCCGGGCAGTGACCACGGCGGCGGCGTCCGCGACGACGACGGCGGCGCGCTCCCGTTTGCGCCGTGACTTGTTTGCGCGCGCGAGAGCGCGCGACCTTGGGTGTGCAGTCTCTGTGTGCGCGCCGGGCGGTGTACGTGGTCGTCAGGCGCATTTACCATCTTCGGGCGCTTGAGATGTCAGTGAGAGTGTGTGTCGTATGGAGACGGAGGTGTGGCGGCGCGGTCTCTTAGCTTTCCTCATAGTTACCTCAATGGGTCTTGTGTGCGTTATGTGAAACTTGTGTATGAAGAATAAAGGCTGTAGGCTGGTGGCTGTGTTAGACCTATTGGTCGCTCCGCGCTCGGGAACCATCTAGGCCACCTCTTGCGCAAGAGCGAAGAGGTGGCGGTGGCCTAGTTGGTTCACGAGCGCCGACCAATTATGAATTACTCTCGTCGCCCTGAATGGTTGCCGAGGGGCCAGGGGTTGTGGAGGACACCGCGATACCGGCGTGAACACAACTAACTGACGGATCCGCTCCTCACAGTCGCACGCGCCGCGCTGCGGCGCGTGCGACTGTCTTTGTTTGAAGTCAAAAGTCGAATCAGAGCGGTGTCGGCGTTGTCCTCCGTTTCCTCCCCTGGCCCCCCCGTCCGGGACCGCTCCGAAACGCACGCCGGCGAAACATCATCAAGCTGCTGTACGGCGCCGGCGATCGCCTTCCCAGGCTTAGCTAGACTGAGAGATATTGTGCACATGGTTGGTCTCTACAATATATACACTGACACTTTACCTCCCAGAGCTCGTCCCGGTCCGCCACGGCCATCCTCGGCCTCCGGAGGGCCCCTGGCCGCGGCGCGGTGCGGCGGCGTCACAAATCCGACCACAGAGCACCGGGACGCGGTCGGGCGATCTGAGGTCCAACTAGGCGTATGCATTGCCCATCCAGGGCTATCACCTGGACCCATCAACAGGCGCCTGCGGCGCCGTGGTCACGAGGTGTTGTTCACACGATTCGAGGCGGCGATGCACAGGTTGCTCCTCTACGCTCTCGCTGCCATGAACGGTGGTCCCTTCTCGACCGACCCAGTGCGCAGTGGTGCAAGTGGACTACATTTCACCTCTTCCCGATGCTCTGCGTCGCAGCCTCGCGCACAGGGAACTTCTAGTTGTTGTAACATTCTTAACACATACGACGGACGTCCTTGCGCGCGGGGGTTATGGCCTACGACGGTCCAGCGCTGGGCAGCGTGATGGCTCCTACTCGAGGCGCGACATGAGTGTACGAGGACCTCAACGCCTCGGTTTGGCGAACCAGCATGAGGAGCGGAGCCGCTGTAGCTCCTCCCTGCAGCTTGCGCGTCGCGGTTTGACCGACACCCATCCACCGCGCATACTGCGGCGGCTCTCCAGCTCAAGAAGGCTTCCCGAATCAGTGGTCCGGACACCCTGCTGAGCCTCGCGCTGCAGTGCAGCCAATTTGCGCGGCCGTGATGGCCATGCGCGAATCGAACCGGCGCGATGTTGTTCGGCACTCTAGATGGCCTGAACATGCTTGCGCTCAAGTCTCGAGGTCTGTGTTCCAACTTGAAAATTAATAAATCCGCTCCGACCGGCCTAGTGCAGGGGGGGTACGACCGAGCAGTGTGCGGCCGCTCTTGAGCATCTCTTGAGAGAGTTACATCGCATGGTAGATGCCATTCGGGCTGCGGCTAAAGCTTTAAAAGTCGAAATTTTCCACCATGGGGTCTAACAAGGCGCGGGCGAGATGGCTTCCTAAGAACTAAGAAGCCGTCGCCCCCACCACAGGGGCAGTCACACGACTCCCCCTCCGGCGCCCGCCCCACCCCACCCCGACATCCCCACCCCACAACCCCGCCCCACCCCGACCCGAGCAACCCCGCCCCACCCCGACCCGACCCGACCGACCCCGCTCGGCCCCGCCCAGCCCCATCCACCGGACAACCCCCAAAGCCGCAGTCGGCTCCGGCCCCCGCCTGACCCCCACCCGCGCGCGTGCGCCCGCCGCCTGCGCCGCCTCCCCCATGCGCGCCTATGAAAGCAGCCACCCCGCCCACCGCCCCGCTCGTCGCCCGCCGCCTCGCCCGGCCCTCGCGCCCGCCCGCTCGACCGCCGTCCCCGCCGGCAAATGACGGCCGCCCCGCCCGCACCCTGATCCTGTGGCCTCGCAAAAGAAATCGACGCAAGACCCGTCTCGCATCCCCTCACCCCCTACGGCTTGCCGCCGGGCATCATCTCTCAGCACGATGCGCAAGTATTCGGACAGGACCTTTTGAGGTCGTCATCTTTGCACGCTGTGCAAAATTCATCGGAATAGCCTTCTTTTACATAATTGCAGGGCACCGCGCCGTCGGGCATCATCTCTGGGCACGATGCGCAAGTAGTCGGACAAAAGGTTTTGATGGCTTCATCTGTGTTGCACGACGTGGTGCAAAAGACGCCGGGAGCATTTGTGTCTTGTTCGTCTTTCATTGCAATGCACGTCGGACCGCCGGGCAGCATCTCTGGGCACGATGCGCAAGTATTCGGACAGGACGTTTTGAGGTCGTCATCTTCTTTGCACGCTGCGCAAAATCCGTCGACGTGCTCCTCTTTCTCATCAATGCACGTCGTTGATCCGTCGGTGTACCCGTCGGGCATCATCTCGGTGGCGAGCGCGCCAGCTTTGCTCATCGAGAGCACCTTCGTCGTGGCGACGCCCAGCGCACTCGCGGTTAGCAGCACGGCACCCAGTGTCTTGCGGCGCATGCCATGGTTCGCAGGAACGGGTGTTTCCATGGCCCGAAAGCGCGCACGTCGCGGCCGGACGCGTGCGAATCGGCCGCGACACAGTTTTCACCGTTCTTTCTCATGGACCACCAAGAACTGGCACGGGCTGCAGATGCAGCGCTTGTCTGTCGTTCTCCACACCGCCGTGGCGTGGCAGACGGTGAACGAGCTAGCGTGCGGGGACAGCGGCATTGTGCACGGTGCTAAGTGCATTGCCGCTCTTAACGGAGTCGCTTAGGCGGCTCCGGTGGTGTGCCGGTGATAGTACCAGCACGCGCCAGTTCGCACCTGTGTCGAGCCTGTCTGCACTGCTGTGACAGAGAGTTCTTTTGTTTAAATTCTTTCTCGTACTTTACTCGAGTAGCTATAGATCGGGAGATCTCTTCTCCCGGCGGGAATGATTTCGATGCGCACCGACCCCGTGCCGCGGGCCTGTATGTATCTCCCGCCCGCGATGTGTCGCGGACAAACCCAAGTCTCTGGGGGGGCGCGGGGGCCCCCGGAGGCACCGTGCGCCGCGCCGCAGTGCGCGGAAACGGGGCTCCGGCGCTCAGAGTCGCTCAGAGCACCAACTTACCGATCTAACCCGGTCTAACAGAGGGTAGATTTGGAGAGATCTCGAGGAGTACACACAGATAGACCCTCCAACCATCAGAAACCGCAAAAAAGAAAAAAACCCAAAAAATCGGCGCCTGCGGCGGGCCATGGGACCCCATCTCCCCCCCGCATGGATACCCTCTAGGGCCCCCGCGCCCCCCCAGAGACCCAAGTAGACGCCCGGTCGGGCGGGGTGGTACGCTGCGTGGGGCGAGGGGCAGGGGGCGTGTGCAGCAGGATTTTCAATGTTATTGCTAAAAGATCTCTCTCTCTGTCTCTGTCTCTCTTCCCACGAGCTGGCCACACCTTCCTAAAAAGTGGGTGCTCACGTCACTTGTTTTTGCCTCGCCGCCCTCGCAGGAGTCGCTTAGGCGGCTCCCGTGGTGTACCTGTGTTAGTGCCAGTGCGCGCCAGTCCCGTGCCCAGTGTTGTAAAACACTTTTTTTGAGTAGATAGTGCCGAGCTGGCCGCGTGACAGCGTTTTCGGTAGTTTTGGGCGGGTTTTGCACCACAGACTTTTTGCAACAAACAAGTGTCTTACTATTAGTCTCAGCTCTCACCCCTTATCGCGCTCGCCACTGAGGCACTGTCTAATAAAAAAGTGTAGCACAAAGAGCACTTCTGCTAGACGTAGAGAATTAGGATCATAGCCGCACGCCAGCGAGATGACGCCAGCCACAGGGTGGAGGGCGCGCGCACAGAGTGTACATGCGAGCCGAACCTCACTAAAAAACGAGCACAGCTAACAGCTATGAGCACAGTGGGGGGCACTCGATGAGGACGGTGTGTCCTTGCGTGTCGCCTAGAACGGCGCCTCGCCCGCTCAGCGCGAGGGCGCTCACGCTGCCACGCGTGCCGCCGCCAAAGCGCCGGCCGAGCCTGGCCGCGCAGCGTCCGCCGGCGAGGTCCCAAACGCAGACGCCCTCGGTGCCGCCGCCGGCCGCGAGGAGGAGGTCGCCCTCGAGCGCGAGCACGGGCACGCGGCCTCGCCCCGAGGTGAGCTCGTACAGGCACTCCCCCGCCACGCCCGCCTCACCGCAGCACGCGCGGAGCGCCCACACGCAGAGGCGGCCGTCGCCGCCGCCGCTCACCACACGGCCGGGGGCCATCGCGACGGCGAGCACGGGCCGCGCGTGGCCGACGAGAGCGCCTCGGAAGGCGAGCGAGTCCGCATCACGCAGCTCGAGGGAGTGGTCCGCCGCGGGGCTCACGACGAGCCCGTCCGCCGCCGCGAGGGCGGGAGTGGCCGCCTCGACCGCCACAGCCCCGGCCGCAGCCAGCCCGCTGTCTGTCGTCCAGAGGCGGAGGCGGCGGTCCGCCCCGCCGGTGAGGAGGGAGCCGGCCCGCGGAAAGACGAGGCACAGCACCGCCGCACCGTCGTCTTCTCCGGTCGAGTGCCGATGGGCCAAGGTGGCTCCGGCTGCCGCCTCCGCCGCCGTCTCTGCTACCGACAAATCGAATAGGCGAATAGTGCCGTCTCGGCAACCGCTGGCGAGCCGGCTGCCGTCGAGCGCCAGGCACGACACCTCATCCGAGTGCTGGAGAGCGAGCGGCTCGCCCAGCCGCGAGCCGCGCCTCCACACGCGGCAGAGAAGGTCACCGCCGCCTGAGGCGACCCATGCGCCAGAGACGGCGGCGCAGGCGATGCCGCTGCACGCCCACGGTGAGGCTGCGGGAGCGGATCCGAGCGGCAGTAGACGTTGCTCGGGCTGGCGGTGGGCGCAAATCCATGCTGCGCTGTCGAGAGAGCCGGCGTGGGTGACGGCCCACTCGGAGTTTCGGATCAGTCGCCGAGAGACCGCCCTGGCTGAGCGCGAGGCTCCGGCGAGCGCCGTGAGCGTGGCGAGGCCGCACGGCGCCGCGATCGACTCGGCGAGGTCGTCGATGGAGAGAAGCAAGGAAAGGGACGGGAGTGGCTCGCGCAGCGGCTCGCCGAGCTCCACCGAAGCGGCCGAAGCGGCCGAGGTAGACATTGTTGAGTGATCTGCGCAAGCTAGAGTGGCGGAGCGAGGAGTGGGGTATGGTTGCGGTGCCTCTCTCGGGTGGCAAAGAAAAAATCTTAAAAAGAAACCGACTGGGCGGCACGTGCCAGTGCTGCCTCCCCTGTGGAGAGTCGCGTGTCGCGGTCCCGCGTTGACCGTTTTGCGTTGTCCGGTTTGACCGTTTGCGGTGGCGCGGTAGTAGTAAAACGTCACACAGGAGCTGTCTCGACTCAGTGCAGTGTACCACCACCCACGCTGTAGATGGACAGAGGAACCAACAGAGCGCAGTGGGAAGGGGAAGGGGGGAGAGGCTGCGAAGGGCGAGGGGGGGTGGAAGGGGGTGGGCCGTGCTATGCCACCTGCCTCGTGCGCACCTCTATTCTGCTCCGGAGTGACTCGCCACCGCCATCCCTGGGCCCACTGGGCAGTCGTGTGAGGGGCCGCCCCCTAGTGGGTCCCCCGACTGACCCGTAAACCAACTATGTTCGGAGCCTGGATAGGGTGTAGGCCGTTCGGAAGGTGGGTCGGGAGGGGATACCCCGCTAGGAATAGTCTCCCCTGACCCCGTCCCCGCCGGCCCGCCTGCCCTGCCCGCTGGCCGATAAGATCTCTTCACCTTCTCATTGGTGGAGTATAGGTACGAGGGTGGTGTGGCATCTCTTGCGGGTCTCGCCAGGGGCGCCTACTAACCTCGCTTGCGAGGGGCGTGTGGCATGTCTGAACGGACTCGTGAGGGGCGCCTGCCAACCTCGCTTCGTCGAAGCGGCGCTCGGTACCCACACCCACCCCGCCGCATTCGTCGCCGGCGCGCGACACGTTCCCGTCGGCTGGACTGCCCTCGTCGAGTGCGTGTCGCCAACCAAGGCGGGACGCACTCAGGGACAGTGCCGGCGGGACGCGGCTCGAGAGGCGGCTCCCGCGGAGGCACGGCTGGCACCTGTGGCGCGGGGCTCGTCTTCGGAAAGACCAGGATCGCTCTACTGGCAAAGTTCTGGCTGACACGCGCGCCCGGTCGAGCCTTCGGCGGGCGCGCTGCGGTCGCACGCCTACCCAAGTCATATGCCACGGCGTGCGATCTAGATTCAGCACACGCGCCTCTGCTCGCAACCACTCATCCAATGAACTGTCGTCACCCATGAGTGCGAGTTAGGGCTAGCGGCTGGCCAATAGCCTGTGAGGAGGGCGTCCATAGACACCTCACAAGACCCCACACACGGTCTCGTCCGTGCCTTGCGGCCGGCGACGAGATTGCTAGAGGCGGAGCAAGCCTGCTCTAGTCTCACACGTTCGCCCCTGTCGCCTGTCTGTGTTGTTGTGCTGTTGTTTGTCTCTTGGCACCTTGGAGTGCTGGGGGGGGCGACAGGGGGGACGTGGCCTGAGTGATGTGTACGCCCACTCAGGATGTGTGGCAGCCCGCTGGCTGTGTGTCTTGTGAGCTTGTTTGTGTCTGTGTGTCGCTCGTGCGTGTCGTCATCATCTGTCTTGCGTCCACCCATACCGCGTTGGTGTCCAGTCCGAGCCTGACTGTTCTTCACCTTACTACATACATACAAGAGAGAGTACAGAGAGCAGATTGTGAATGAGCTTGCATGTGGCGGGCGAGTGCACGGAGCTAAGTGCCTCGCCGCCCTCGCGGGAGCCGCTTAGGTGGCTCCCGTGGTGTACCTGTGTTAGTGCCAGGTGCCAGGTTAGTGCCACGCGCCCGGTTTTGGAGTTTTGAAATTCTTGCGAGATACGGGGAGATACGGGGAGATACGGGGAGATACGGGGAGATACGGGGAGATATGGCCTCGAGGACCGCCGGCTGAGCGCGCGAGCGAGAGGCGGGGAGATGTGGGGAGATACAAGCGGGAGCTCGAGGAATTCTTGGGTCTGGGAACCAAGCTGGCACCCCTACGCCAGCTCTCCCCAGCAATACCTCCTCGTCGCCAGGCGCCAGCTATCACTCCTCGGCTTGAGGCACTAGGCACGACCACCCAATCGCCAGCACCCCAATCGCCAGCACCCCAATCGCCAGCACCCCAATCGCCAGCACCCAATCGCCAGCACCCCAATCGCCACCTCGCCCGCCTCGCCTCGGCCACGCGTTCTCCCTCGCCACGCCTGCACTCGCCTGTGGCAGCGCCGCAGAGCGCGAGCGCGGCTGCTCTGATAGGTTCCACGATGCCGACCAAAGGGCTCGCGCGGAAGCAAGACGAGTCCGGCCCGGGCAAGCGCATGCTGCTCCTCGATCAGGAGAAGTGCAAGCCGGGCATCCGCAGGGCCAGGTTGGGTCGTGTTGCGATTGGCTGCACACCGTGAGCTGGCGTCTTTGTGTGGATGTAGGCATGGCGGCGCACGACTTCCTGAAGCGGATCTCCAAGTGCCCGTCGGGCCAGGAGTGCATCACCGTCGGAGGCCCACCGGCCTTCCCAATCTCGATCATGGAGGACTCGTGCCTCGCCTGCCTCAACCGCGCCAAGCGCTGCCCCGGCGAGGCGCTGCGCATCATCAACCTGCCGTCGAACCTCACGACGAACGTCACGCACCAGTACGGGCTCAACTCGTTCAAGCTGCACGGGCTGCCGACCCCGCGCGCCGGCAACGTGCTCGGCATCCTCGGCTGCAACGGCATCGGCAAGTCGACCGCCCTCAACACGCTCTGCGGCCGGCTCAAGCCCAACCTCGGGAGGCTCAAGGAGCCGCCTGGCTGGGCAGACATCATGGCCTACTACCGCGGCTCCGACCTGCACACCCCACCTCGCCCGTCGGCAGCTCTCTGTGTGCTGGACTCGCGCGCCTCTCTGGTACTAGGCTCCGACCTGCAAACCTACTTCACGCGCTTCTTAGAGGAGGAGCTCACCGTGGTGCACAAGCCGCAGCTCGACGGAGCGATGGCCAAAGGCGCCGTCGGGAAGAAGGCGCGCGCGTGTGTGTGTGTGCTCTCCCGCTCCGCGCGCCGCTCCCCGCTCCGGCTCTGCCGTCCGTCGCTTCCCCCACCACCACCACCACACCCACCCACCCACACAGGTGGGCGACTTGCTGCGGGACCGCGACGAGCGGGGCACGCTACCGGAGCCTGGGCGGCCGTGGTTGACCGAGTGGTGATGTGAGTGGCGAGGTGTGAACGGGACAGGCGCGCTCGAGGGAAACGAGTTGCTATTAGCCGTGCAGTAGACTGATTGATTGACTCGTGAATGAACGGGACAGGCGTGCTCGAAGAGATGGGCCGCCGCCTCGAGCTCGACCACCTCCTCGAGCGAGAGGTGACTGCAAGCACTCCTCCTCCAGGGAGGCGGAGCCTTCCCACCGACCCTCTCACGCACTCGCCCTCTCCGCCCCTCACCCCCTCACGCCACCCCTCACCCCCTCATCCTCCCACCCTCACCCTCCCACCCTCACCCTCCCACCCTCCCGCCCTCTCACCCCCCCACCCTTCCACCCTCACCCGCCCCAGGTGCACACCCTCTCCGGAGGAGAGCTGCAGCGGCTCGCCATCGCGACAGTCGTCATGCGCAAGGCGGGACAAGTTGTCAAACCACACCCCTCCCCGGGGCGGGGACCCACACACCCCCCCCCACTCTCCCCGCAGGCGGACGTGTACCTCTTCGACGAGCCGTCCTCGTTCCTCGACATCCGACAGCGCATGACGGCGGTGGCCCGCTGCCCGCCCGCCCCGCCCGCCCCGCCCGTCCGCCGCCCGCCCGCCGCCCGCCCGCCGCCCACCCGCCGCCCACGTGCCACTGTCCAGCCACCCCGCCCCTCCTCCCCTGCCCGCCCGCCCCCTCCCGGCTCCCGCTCTGGCCAGGTCGACATCATCCGCTCCCTGGTCTTTGACGACGCGGCGGAGGCGAGTGGCGAGGCCAACCCGTCAAAGTATGTCGTCGTGATCGAGCACGACCTCGCCGTCCTCGACGCCGTCTCCGACTACGTCTGCTGCCTCTACGGCGAGGCTGGCGCGTGGGGCGCCTCCACGAAGATTGCGACCGTCCGCAACGGGATCAACAACTTCCTTGCCGGTGTGTGCCGCCAGCCACAGCCTGACCGGCCGGTCCACGCACTCCCGGGCTCACGGAGGGGCGATGGCGGCGCCGCCGCACGCGAGAGGGCGGCGCGAGAGCGCAGGCGTTGAGGCCGAAGGGGATGATCGCTCCGCCCGTGGTGACGACTCACCGCCCTCTGCTTCGCTGGTGGACGAGCGCCAACGGCGCACCTCACGCGTCGCCGACACGTCTCCGCAGGCTACATCCCCGCCGAGAACATGCGCTTCCGCGCCGAGGCGCTACACTTCCAGGCGAGCACACCCGGCCGAGAGTCGGAGACACGCGTCCAGGGCATCATGCCCACGACATGCCCGAGACGTGTCCACAGGTGAGCACTGGCGAGGGGTCCGACGCGGTGCTCGCTGCCGAGGGGGGCGGCGGCAGCCCGACCGCCGGCGCGCCTGCCTGTGCGCGGCCGCCTGTCCGTGACACGTCCGTGACATGTCGCGTAGGTACGCCGACGGTGGGGACGGTGCAGTACCCCGGCGCGACCAAGACGCTCGTCTCCACGGACGGCGACTCGCGCTTCACGCTGCACGTCGAGCCGGGCGACTTCAAGGGGGCCGAGATGATCGGGATGCTGGGCGAGAATGGGTGCAGCCACGCCAACCTCCCCGGGCTGCGAAATCGCCGCCCGACATACGCCCACGACGTGTGTCGGTCAGGTGCGGCAAGACCACCTTCATGGACCTGCTGGCGGGCACCTTTGAGCGGGGCGGCGAGGAGGGGAAGGACGAGGGCGACGAGCACTCCCTCAAGGGGCTCGGCGTCGCCTACAAGCGGCAGCACTACGCGCCGCGCTTCCGCAAGTTCGCCGGCACCGTCGGCGCCCTCGCCGAGCGCGCGGGGCGGTCGGCGTGGGAGGAGACGTCCCTCACGTGTCGCTGGCGCGTGTGCCCCCCCCCAGGCGACCTTTTCGAGCGCGCGGTGCAGGGCGTGGTTGCGGACCGCTTCTACAGGCTGCTGGTGCTGCGGCCGCTGCAGCTCGAGGCGCTCGAGAGGCTCGACGTGCGAACCCTCTCCGGCGGAGAGCTGCAGCGCGTGGCCATCGCCGTGTGCCTCGGCACGCCCGCCTCCGTCTACCTCTTCGACGAGCCGTCGGCGGGGCTCGACTGCGAGCAGCGCGTGGTGGTGTCCAAGGTGATCCGCCGGTGGGTGGTCGATCACATGCGCAAGACGGCGTTCGTCATCGAGCACGACTTTGTCATGGCCGCCGCCCTCTCGGACCGCACCATCGTCTTTTCGGGCAGGCCCGGCGTTGAGTGCACCGCCTCTGCGCCGCGGCCGATGGCGGACGGTTTCAACGCCTTTCTCGAGTCGCTCGACGTCACCTTCCGGCGCGCCCTGCCCGCAGCGCGCGTGGCCGCCGACGACGGCGCGCGCGTTTTGAGGCCGCCGCCCCCATTTCCGTAGGCGAGACCCCGCAAACTACCGCCCGCGCATCAACAAGCGCGGCTCGGCCAAGGACCGCGAGCAAAAGGCGGCGGGCGCGTATTTCATTTTTGACGCGGACGAGGACCCGGCCGAGGCGGCGGAGCGCAAGGCCGCCGAGAAGGAGGGAGGGGGCGGGAAGAAGAAGAAGTAGATAGGGTCAGACATGATGGGGGGGGGGGAGCCTCCTGGTCCTCGGCCTGGGCGCGCTTGTCACCCTCTTGGCGTCCACCGCCGCGTGGCTTGGGGACCAACTAGCCATCGTGTGGGTGCACTGGCGCTACGACCTTTCCCATGTCGGCGGAGCAATCAAGCACATGACCAACCGTGTTGTCGACTGGGCACAAGAGGCGCGCCCTGTTGCGCGCAACGGGCATCCGCCACCAGCCGACGGCGATTCCAATCCCAAGCCTGAGGTGGGCATCCCAACACCAGCTCAAGCGCCCCCCCCCCGGGGGCCATTGCCGAGACTGAATCGTGTGCCACCGCCGCCGCAACAGCAAGTTGCCCAGGCTCAATCTCCACCGACCTACGCGCTGCTATCGCGGCCGACTGCGTACGGACAGGCACTGCATTCGCCGCAGCCGCGTGCGTGGATGCCCAAAAAGCGCAGGCTATACTCTGAACTAGTGGCAATAGCGAGCTCCGCTCCGGGCCAGCCGACTGCAAAGGCCGAGGAGGTTCAAATCATGCTGGAGCAGTGGGCCCTCGCCAAGCAGCATCGTCAGGCCAGGAGGCTCGCACTCGAGGCGTAGGCATGGAGCTGTCAGCTGAGCACGAGCCCCGAGACCGCGCGTAGAGACATAACGTGATACTGTGTTATCGTCCTGGTTTGGCCCCTTGCTTGGGGCTTGGACTCACTGCGCGCGCTACTCGCTTGCCGGCCAGAGCGCGTGGCTCGTCCGCTCGTCCTCTCGTCACTCGTGGACTAGTTGCAAATACGGGTGCTGTGATAATGACCACTTTTGATGTTTTTTTGTCCGTGTTGCTCCCAGCGCCCTCGCCCGCGCTCCCTGAGGCCATGGCTGGTGCTACTAGTATGGGGGGCTACCTGGCTACCGCGAGAGCGACCCAACTCGTCGACGTCGTCCGATGATGGTGCCTCAAAGTCAGCCTCCGGAGGCTCGTCGTGGGGTCGAGCCGGCGGTGGCCGTGACATGTGGTTCCACCACCCCTCGCAGGCTTTGCCTCTGACCGCCACCGTTCCCAGGCTGCCTAATGGGATGAAAAGGAAGGCTCGGCGAGCGTATAGAAGCGTTCTCGACCTCGTCGTGGCAACCTGTACCGCAGCGCTGGCGGGCGCGATGAGCGTCGTGCCACCTGACCCGAGACGGGTCGCAGGCGTCGTACCGAGCGCGTCGAGACTGTGTCCTGATGCGCTCTGCACGGGTGAGCCACGTCGGCGTCAAAGGAGCGACGTGTGACCTGTCAGAGCTTGATCTCCGATCTCAGCGACGTCGAGTCGCCTTCGGTGGCGACAGCTAGGATGCATCTCCTCCGTCGTTTTTCGCGCGATGGCCCTGAGAAGCTGGCGCCGCACGCAGGCGGACCTTGTGTATGCGGCGAACGCTTAAAAAGTGGGTGCTCTACGTCACTTTTCTTAGTGATACAGGTCCCGGCTTTGGTTTCACAACACGTTTGGTCCTCGCTATGGTACGGCTCACCAGATGCGACAGGAGGGCTAAAATCCGGAATATAGACTGCCAAGAGGGTGCTCTAGGCCGCGAAGACACCACACACGGTCTCCCTACTCATGCGCGGCTAGCAGGAGGGTGCCAAAAATGAGGCGCGTTGTGAAACCGCAGCTGGCCCCGCCGACGGGTAGCACAGGTCATGAGTGAGGCCACGCCAGCTGCCTCGGGTGCTCCGTGTGGTCGGCCTGGACCTTGCCGCAAGCCTCGAGCAGCGGAGAAGCACTGTCCTTGAAGTCCAGACATGCTTCGCCGCCGTGGCGCAGCGCCGCAGTGCGAGCGAGCACTGCAGTGCAGTGATCGCTTGGACTGCGGCACCCATCGACTCCCTGCGCTCCGGGCACACATTGGCAAATGTGCCGGCGGCCTTGTGGACGGCTCGGGCACGATCTGCACGACGGCGCGGCGTCGCGAGGCGGCCGTGTTGTGAAAACGAAGCTGTTGCGAAACCGAAGCCAGGACCTGTAGTGCCGAGCTGGCCGTGACATCGTTTTGTATGTTTTTGGTCATTGGTGCTTTTTCCACGTGAGACTTTTTGCAACAGTCCGTGCCGCTCTGAAAGCCGTAACTGCTGTCTTGTTTTCCGGCAGCATCCAACAACTATCTTCGCTCATTGCCACTGACATGCCCCCCCCCCCCACGCACAACAACATGTCACATGCACATGCACATGCACATGCACATGCATGTTACATGTTGCATGTGCATGTGCATGCACATGTGCATGTGCATGTGCTGCATGTGCATGTTGGAATATGGCTGCCTCGCGCGCGGCCACCGCCGAGGAACCTGGCTCTCTCGACTTGCGACACGCCGCCCCCAAACGCGCGCCAATGCACGATTCACTCACACCTTCCGCCGCACGCGGCGACGCACCGCTCCAGCACGCGCTCCTTCTCGGCGGCGAAGGCGCGGGCGAGCCCGCGGTGGCGGGAGGGCGCGTCTGTCGGCGAACCCTTTGCGAACCCGGCGCCGGCTGCTTCAAGACGACTGTCGCGCCGCTGCTTCCAGACGAGAGCCGCGGCGGCGCCGACGGCGCGGCGGGCGCGCTCCTCGCCCGCGGGAGAAGAGGGGGAGGCGCCGTCGTCGGCGAGGTCCGCCTCCGCGAGGAAGAGGAGCCGCGCCAGCTGCATCGCGCGCGGACCTATAGCACGGTAGGCGTGGAGCATGAAGCCACACGTGAGGAGCCCCCCCCGCCGACTGCGCCGCGTGCCTCCCCCCTCGGCGGTGAGGCTGACGGCGGCGGTGTTGTCCGTCAGCGGCACTCGCGCTTGGCTGAGCCTGCGCAGCCGCTCCTTCGGGTACGGGTCCGCCTCGCCGAGAGCGAGCAGAAAGGACTGCTGGTCGACCAGGAAGGAGTCGTGCGGGTTGCCGGCCTCGACGAAGCCGTAGTACTGGAGCAGCTGGTCGTTGGAGCGGTCGCCGTATGAGATGAGCAGCTCGGCGCCCGGCGGGACCGGGCCGGCGGCGGGGTCGAGGGACGCGCCAAACGCGTCGCCAAAGTAGTCGTACCTAGAGGAAGGCTCCGCAGGGGGCTCGGGGGCGGTGGCCAACTTTGCGGGCGCCCCCCATGGGCAGTCGCACTCGAGTCGCGAGCCCGAGCGGGAGGAGGCGTGGTTCAGCATGTCCAGGTACGGGCAGAGGACGTGCCTAGGGTTAGGGCTAGCTAGGGCTAGGGCTAGGGGTAGGGCTCGGGGTAGGGGTAGGGGTAGGGGAGGGGTGAGCTTAGGGTTAGGGTTTGGCGTGGTTCAGCATGTCCAGGTACGGGCAGAGGACGTGCCTCTTGCCGCGCGCTAGCAGCCGCGACGCGACGACGTCTGAGAAGACGAGCGACACGCCTGTTCACAGCTAGAGGTGTGAAGAGGCGCCGTTCACACCATCAGAGACGTCTGAGAAGACGGGCGACACGCCCACGACAGAGACGCCGTCGACAGCCTGCTGCGGCGCGAGGAAGCCACCCACCACAGACACCAGTCCGAGTAGCCCCGCAAAGCCGAGCTGCGCCGCCGCCGCCTTGCGCGATCAGAACAGCGACGGAGCTCCGACACGCGTCTCGGAGGCGTGGCGGAGGGTCGACGACGTGTCGGAAGTGGGACGGAGGCGTGTCTCGGAGGGCTGTGAGAGCTGTGAGTTGCGGTGTGTCCCGGAGGGCTGTGAGAGCTGTGAGTTGCGGTGTGCCTCGGCTTGTGTCTCGGCTGGTCTCTCGCCTTGAGCGTGCCGCTGGCAGGACCGGAAAAGGCGCGGGAGCGGACGCACGAGAGGGCCCAGTCCAGTTCCTCGCCGCTCGGAGCGCAGAGGGGCTGCACGCCCGCCTCCGCCTCGCCGCTCGCTTGCTCGCCCATCGCGCGCGCCGACGCAGCAACCTCCTCGCGGTGTTTGGACCAGAGCGCCCGCTGCTTTGCCACCGCCTGCGCAGCGTGGCAAGGGCGTGTCGCGAGCGCTCAGTGCGTGGAGTGGCGGAGGAGGTGAGGGTCGGCAGGCTTGGGGTCTGTCTGTCCTGTCTGCCCTGTCTGTCCCGTCTGTCCTGTCTCTCATGTCTGTCCTGTCTCTCATGTCTAACCTGTCTGTCCTAACTGTCCTGCCTGTCCTGTCTGTCTGGTCTGAGCGGGTCTGCGCCTCGATGAGCGGCGGGTAGCCCGTCGCCTCGAGATCTGCGTCGGACCAGTAGAGGGGCGTGTCGAAGCTGCGCGGGAGGAGGTCGAGCCACGCCGCGCGCGCCTCGTTCAGCCCCTCGCCTCGCTCCGCCTGCTGCTTCACCCGCAGCAGAAGCAGCGCGAGCCGGAGGTCCCACGCTGCAGAGCGCCAGACCTTCGGGTCGACCCACCGAGGGCAGGGCGAGTCCGGCGTCACCTGCAGCGCGTTCGCGGCCGGCACAGCGAGCACGCGAGCGCCCGCGTCTAGCGCCTCCGCCGCCTCCACTCCACGGATGCCGTCAAAGGTGGCAATGCGGACGGGCAGCGCGCTGACGCCAGCACGGGCAGCGCGCTCGCCAAAGAAAAGAGCGTCGCCGCCGTTTGCACGGGCGGGTGCCACTGCACGCGAGGCGATGAGGGATGAGAAGGCCAGCATGTGAAGGCGGGCAAGCGTGATCGGGCAGCTCCAAAGAATTTTCCGCCGGCAATCCCTCCCTTGGGTTGTCCCTTTTTTTGCGAACTATATCAGCGTGGGTGGGCTTGCCAAGCAGGCTGGAGTGCTGCCGTGTGTTTCTTCTTTCTTTTACATTAGGCATCTGGCCGTGTCTTGTGAGCTTGTGTGTGTCTGTGTGTCGCTCGTGCGTGTCGTCATCATCTGTCTCGCGTCCACCCATACCGCGTTGGTGTCCAGTCCGAGCCTGGCTGTTCTACTAGCATCTGGCATGTAATTGTGTGTTTCGCCTTCGATACACACATACTAGGCACGCACGGGACTGGCGCGCACTGGCACTAACACACAAAACACAGGAGACAGGTACACCAAGGAAAAGAGTTCGATTTTGCTTTCGTTCGTACTGCGCGAGCCTCGGAGAGAGAGATATTTTTAGCAATATCAAACCACTCCTAACACTCACACATCAGCCTCGGCGCCTCCCATACCTCAAATCCGCGGCCGCACGTCCACCACCTCGAACGTGTACCTGCCGATCACCACCGTCTCGACGTCGCCGGTCGGCTGCAGGTAAGTCAGGGGCGGGAAGAGGAATTCCGCCTCGCCGGGGAAGGCGGAGAGGAAGGAGATATCCGGCCCTCTCTCGTAGAAGGACTCGGTGATGAGCCGCAGCAGCACCGCGTGGGAGCTCGCAGAATAGCGCATCGCCACGGAGAGATCGGACGTCGTGCTCATCGGCGCGAGCTCGGTGCCGCCCTGTGCCATGAAGTCGGCCGGCGCCGTCACGTCCTTCATGCCGCGGTACAGCTCGACGCGGCGAAGCGCCGTGTTGGGCGAGGCCGAGTGCCGCTCCGCCTCGACCGCCCGCAGCTTGCCCAGCGCGTCGCGGAGCAGCGCCACCGTCACCGGCATTGGGTGCGGCTCGCCGCGCATGAAGCGGTCCCTTTCGCGCAGCGGTGTGTTGATCGCACGATACGCCTGCGTGGTGTAGAAGCGCAGAGCGACGACATGTGCCTCGGTCAGGTTCGCAAGGCGCGCGCTCTGGTGGTTGACAAAGTCCTCCAGACGCATCCCGCGCAGCTTGCCCGTGGAGCCATCTTCCACCGTGCGGGAGGGAAGCACACTGCCAAACGCATCGCAGTCGCGCCGCAGACCGGCCTGAAAGGCACGTTCGCTCGATCCGGCCTCGGCGTGCAAGATGTAATCGAGGCATTCGCGGTCGACGGCGGAGCCACCGATGTCGACCTCACGCACGATGGCGGCGGTGCCCTCGACCATCCCCAAAAGGACCACGTCTCTCGCCACGCACATATAGTACTCGATCCCCAGCGCCGATTTTGCAGGCCGTCCAAACACGAGCTCGCGTGGTTCGGTCGCGAAGCGGCTCTCCTCGGCGAGTTCGGTCGCGTTGCGGGTGCCGATGAGAGAGCCGGCAGCCTCGACCATAAGCTTGTGTATCTCGGTCCAGCCCTGCTCTTGCTGCCGCTGCCGCACCGCCTCTTCTTTCGCGCGCCGGGCTTTGCGGCGGCGTATGAAGTACATCACGCCCCCGGTGAGACCCAGAGCAAGGCCAGCGGAGCCCACGATGAGGGCAATAGGTGCGCTTGCTCCTCCATTCTGCGCCGAGTACAGGTACGATTCGAGCTCTTGCCTGGTCGAAGTGGTGGCGAGGACACACGTATTGTACTCTGAGCCTTCCTCCTTGACGGGTGCCATGCCCCATAAAAACTGGCACCAGCACCCGTTGCTGGTCATGGGGTTGACGTCAGTATTTGCAATGTCGCAGCCCTCCTTCCGGGCGAGCGCGATGCATTCCGTGGGTGTCGGCACATACTTGGTGTCGTTCTCTCGAAAGATCTGGCGCTCAGCAATCGTGTGAAAGTTGGATGGGAACCATTCGCAAGTCGACCACTCGCTCGTCGGCCAGGACGTCGGCGGGTGCTGCGGTGGCGACGGTGGCACTGTCAGCGACGGGCATGCCAACAGAAGGAGCTTCGCCATCCAGGCACGCGTTTTGTCAGGTTGTCGGGAGAACGAGAAAGAATGCTGGGCCCCGATCCCATCCGGCCCGCTGGGTGCGCTTCTTAGCTCCCCGGCCCTGGATGTGAGGCTAATGACTGCACTCCAAGTGCTCCAAGAGGACAAGCCCCTCTCACAGCAGACTGGCACGAACTAGCACCACAAAAGGCACAGCAAAGAAAATTTAAACAAAAGAAGTCTCTCTCACAGCAGACATGTGTCGAACCTGTGTCTGAGGGAGGGTGTAGAGGATGTAGAGTGTAGAGCGCTGTAGAGATGTAGAGATGTAGAGCGCTCTGGAGCGCTGTAGAGCTGTAGAGCTCTACATCCGCCGCGGGACGAAGCGCCTGCGTTGTAGAGCGATGTAGAGCGCGATTTTGCTGTAGAGTTTGTTGTAGAGGCTCTACAGCCAAACCGCCGGGAAGGCAGTGACTCAAAGAGGTCGAGTCGCACTAATGGGGTGTCTCCGAGCTTACTGGAGCTCTGATGGACGGCCCTGACTATCCCTGACACACAGAGAGTCACTCTGATGGCACACAACAACCTATAACTGCGTCATGACCAGCCTGCCATGCGTCGCCGGTGCCGCATTCGTCGCAGTGCTCCTTTAGCAGGCGGTGGACTGTCGGCTGCGAGGACGGTCGCATTTGCGCGAGGCGAGGCGAGCATTCAGACGCGTTGCATGCGCCATGACTCGCGCCAGCGCGTGCGGGAGCTCCTGGCTGAGCGTTGAGTCCAGGCGAGTTGCGCTGGCCACGATCGCTACGCCGAGCCGAGCTGACGCGCCGAGGCGCCGGCCAGTCGCAGCCGTGAGGCATGCCACAGCAGCAGAGGCACCTGCCACCCATTGGGCGGGCAGACGGAAGGCCAGGGCAGCACTGGCAAGTGCAACGCGCCTCATGTCGGAGAGCGACCGTGCCTCCGTTCGCCGCTTATGATGTAGAGTTTGTTGTAGAGATTTCACGTTGTAGAGCGCCTCTACATCGCTCTACAACGCAGGCGCTTCGTCCCGCGGCGGATGTAGAGCTCTACAGCTCTACAGCGCTCTACAGCTCTACAGCGCTCTACAGCTCTACAGCTCTACAGCGCTCTACACTCTACATCCTCTACACCCTCCCTCAGACCTGTGTGCTGTGAGAGCCTGCTTGAATTCTTTTTGTGTACCTGTGTTAGTGCCAGTGCGCGCCAGTCCCGTGCCCAGTGTTGTGCGAGGGAGCTTTCTTGTAAAATTCTTCGAACCTGTGTGCTGTGCGCGCACTTGGAGCACTTGGAGCACTTGGAGTGCAGTCATTAACCGCACATCCAGGGCCGGGGAGCTAAGAAGCGCACCCAGCGGGCCGGATGATTGGCATCGGGTTACGGGCTAGAGAGCCCTAGCCCCGGGGGTGCGCGTTCGCAGGGCAAGGGCCTTAAAGTAAACACAGTTCTCCGAGGGTTGGACCCGCGTACCGGGTTTCCCCTTAACTGCAGGACGCCCCCTCTACTCGGAGCTAAGAAAGAAAGAAAGAAAACAGACACGCCAAACGAGGGATGGGACGAGGACAGGGTCCCCACCTGCACGAGCAGGATTTTGGAAGAACGATCAGGGGGACAGGTGGGGCTCTCCTGCTCCTGACAAGGGACACGACAGGCTCGCAGCGCGGTGCGCGGTGGACTCCCACATCCACTGGCGGTCTCATCTCAGTCTAGCGACCTGCCTCCAGCTTGTCGCTGGCAGTCTCTCCTACCACAGGCACACTGACACAGGGGTGGCACTAGGGGTGGCAGGGGCGGCGGCACGAGTCTCCCACATACTATGCGGGCCTCACTAGAGGTGCGGCCTGTGCGTGTCCTCGCCCTTGAGGGGGGAGGGGAAGGGGCTGTGTGTCTGTGCATGTGTGTGTGTGTGTGTGTGTGTGTGTGTGTGTGTGTGTGTGTGTGTGTGCGTGTGCGTGTGCGTGTGCGAGCCGCCCTGAACGCCACGAGCGCGCCGCGAGCGCCGTAGCGCCGGCGAGCGCCGTCGGCAGCGCGCGACCGCCACCCAAAAGCGGAGCTACCCGGGTAGTGGACATTACACCTAGCATTGACTTTTTTCGGTTACCAGCCCGGTGGCTTGCCGCCGAGAGCGTCGCCGGTGCCAGCCGCAAGGCTTCGATGACCCGGAGAGCGCCCCGCCTCGTCAGCACGACCCTCGCCGTGCTCGCCGCCACCGGCTGTGGCTGCGCCGCGCTGACGGTGCCGGCCGCCCGTCTGGACCCATCCGTCGCGCACGCCCGGGTCCGCCTCGCGCAGCAGCAGAGACGCAGTGGCACAGTGGCCTGCGCTGCGGTTCCCTCGGCCGGCACGGCGGCGTCGCAGTCGCCCGCGCCGGAGGAGCCGCCGCCGCCGCAGCGGCGGCGGCAGGCCTACGGCGCCGAGCAGATCACCGTGCTCGAGGGGCTCGAGCCGGTGCGGAAGCGGCCGGGCATGTACATCGGCTCGACGGGGTCGCGCGGGCTACACCACCTGGTCTTCGAGGTGGTGGACAACTCGGTGGACGAGGCGCTCGCCGGCTGGGCGACCGAGGTCAACGTCACCATCCACGCCTCCGGCGCCATCTCTGTCTCCGACGACGGGCGCGGAATCCCTTGCGAGCTGCACGCAAAGACAGGCAAGCCGGCCCTCGAGACGGTGCTGACGGTGCTGCACGCGGGGGGCAAGTTCGGCGGCGGCGGCTCGGGCTACAAGGTCTCGGGCGGCTTGCACGGGGTCGGCGTCTCTGTCGTCAACGCACTGTCGGAGCGCTTGGACGCCGAGGTGCGAAGGGGAGGCGCCCTGCACCGCATGGCCTTCGCGCGCGGCGCGGTCGCCGAGCCGATGCAGCTGCAGCCGCTCGCCGCCTCCGAGGGGCGTCCGACCGGCACGAGTATCACTTTCCTGCCCGACGTGAGCATCTTCAAGGGCGGGCTGGCGTGGGAGGTGGACGTGCTGTCGAGGAAGCTCGACCAGCAGGCCTACCTCAACGCGGGTCTGCGCATCTCCCTCTTCGACGAGCGGGCCGGGCCCGGCGCGGCGCCGCTCACCTTCGAGCACCGCGGCGGCATCGGCGAGTACGTGGACCACATCTGCGAGGGCAAGGTGCCGCTCTTCGAGGGTGGGTCGCTCGTGTGGCGCGCCGAGAAGGGCGGTGTGCAGGTCGACCTGGCGCTGCGCTGGTCGGCGGACCAGTACAGCGACAGCCTGCTCGGCTTCGCAAACGGGGTGCTGACGCCGCAAGGCGGCACGCACATCGACGGGCTCAAGCTCGCCATCACGCGGGTGGTCAACGCCGTCGGGCGCGAGAGCGGCAAGCTGCGCGAGAAGGCGCCCTCGCTGCCGGGTGACTTTGTGCGTGAGGGGCTGTGCGCGATCGTCGCGGTGCGGCTGGGGGAGGCTGAGTTTGAGGGGCAGACGAAGCAGAAGCTCGGCTCGCCAGAGGTTCGGGCCATCGTCTCGGAGGTGGCGGGCGAGCGCCTGTCCGAGTTCCTGCAGCGGCAGCCAAAGGCGCTCTCCGCGATCATCGACAAGGCGCAGGCGGCGCAAAAGGCGGCGGACGCCGCAAAGGCGCGAGGCCTCGCCGACGCTGCCTCACCGACCCCCCCCCCCCCCCCCCCGGCTGCCTCGCTACTCCTTGCCGCATCCCTCACCCCTACTTCCATACCCCCCGAAAACAGACCCCCCGCTTTGTGCATATGATGAGAATCCGCGCGTCCACTGTGGGTTCCACCTCCCTGGGGGTAGGGATCCCCTGGCACACTGGAGCCGAACCCCATACTGTGACCTCAGAGCATATGCAGCCGGCTCCCTCACCGCCCCCGCCCTCACCGCCCCCCCGCCCGCACCGCAAAGGCGGCTCGCGAGCTCGTCCGGCGCAAGTCTGTCCTCGGCTCGACGCTACTGCCGGGCAAGCTGGCCGATTGCGCGTGCGGCGAGCAGTACCGCACTACCCACGGATCCGAACCCACACTGGGTTCGGCACTCTGGAGGTATGGTACTAGGCGAGCCGGACGAGTCCGAGATCTTCATCGTGGAGGGCGACTCGGCCGGAGGCTCCGCCAAGCAGGGCCGCTCGCGCCACAGCCAGGCGATCCTCCCGCTGCGCGGCAAGATTCTCAACATCGAAAAGGCGGACGACACGGCCATGTACCAGAACGCCGAGATCCAGGCGCTCATCACCGCGCTGGGGCTCGGCATCAAGGGCGACGACTTCGACCCCTCGCAGCTGCGCTACCACAAGATCGTCCTTATGACGGACGCCGACGTGGACGGCGCGCACATCCGCACGCTGCTGCTCACGTTCCTCTTCCGGTGACCGGACGACTCAACAGACTCCCCCGCACGCTCCCTCCTAGACCCCGACGCCGCGGCCGCCCGCCCCACCCAGCGCACTCGCGCCAGCGCTCAGCGCCGTCGGTGTCGCCGTCTGAGACGCACTCTCGCGCAAGAGGCTCATGGCGCGTCCGCGACGTGTCCGCCGCGGCTCTGTGTACCTCCCCAACCCTCGCAAGTTGATCTCGCTGTGTAGCTCCCCATATCTCGCTACCCCCCCCCCCCCTAGCCCACAGGCCTGCACCAGCTGCACCGCCTCTATCTCCCCATATCTCGCCCCCCGCAGGTACAATCGCGCCGTGGTCGAGGACGGATACGTCTACATCGCGTACCCGCCGCTGTACAAGGTGCGGCACCGCTCCAAGGTGCACTACGCCTACACCGACGCCGAGCTCGCGCAGCTGAGCGAGCGGCTGGACGGCAAGAAGACGGTGCAGCGCTTCAAGGGGCTGGGAGAGATGATGCCGGCGGAGCTCTGGTCGACGACGATGGACCCGTCGACCCGCCGGCTGAAGCGGGTGGCGGCGGCGGCCCTCCGAGACGCTTGCCCGGGGCTTGTCCATGACGCGGCCATGACGCATGTTCGTAGGTGACGGTGGAGGACGCGGTGCAGGCGGACCGTATATTCTCCGTGCTTATGGGCTCCAACATCGGGCCGCGAAAGCAGTTCATCAACGATCACGCCAGTCAGCTCGACTGGGACCTCCTCGACGTGTGAGGCTCCCAGCCCGAGACCAATTCGGTGTGAGACGCGGACAGACGTCAGACGGTGTCCCAGCACGTACTTCGAAACTTGACACACACACTCTATACGTTAAATTTGTGCCACTCCCTCTCACAGCAGACAGCAAGTGAAAGAATTTACAATTTTCCTCCATCAGCGGGCCTCTCTCACAGGACACAGCACACTGGCATAAGAAGGGCGCGGACTGGCGCGGACTGGCACACACACACCGGCACACCACCGGAGCCGCCTAAGCCACTCCGTTCAAGTAGAAAAGAAAGTCAAGTGCGCAGTGTCGTGCGGGGGAACTTCGGCGAATTGTTTTTCTTAAATTAGATTGTGCCAGTGCGCGCCGGAGCACTTGGAGGCCCGTGGCCACTTTTTTTAAAGTTCTCGCGGTTACATTGGGCAAGCAAGCCCGTTGCCGGGCATAGACGTGCATGCGCTACCTCGTGCTCGTCGCCTTCATCGTCGGGACACGATCCATCTATTCGCCGCCGCCGCCGCCGCCGCCGCCACCGCCGCCACCACCACCACCATCAGAGCCACAACCGCCGCCTCCTCCTCCTCCGCCGCCGCCGCCGCCCCCTCCAGCTGTCAGCCCACCAGGTTCACCGCCAAGCCCGCCACTGCCGCCGTACATACCAGGGCTGTTCGTGGTGGGCGAACAGCCCTACGGTGGGAGTTACGGCGAGTATTACGGTGGCGAGTCCGACGACCAGCCAAGCATCACGCACCTTCCCTTCTGTCAGAACTGTCCTCCGGCATGCAGGGAAAAGGCGAAGAAGATTTTCAGAAGCTGGGCGCGCAAGAATCCAAGCCTGAACAAGACTGCTTCAACAAGTGCGGTAGTGTCCGGAGAGTTGTCGGACATATGTTACGATGCGAGCGCGCCCGAGTTCATCACGTATGAGTTCGAGCAAAGGGATGTTGCGAGGCAAGTTGAAGAGCACCCCCACCGCCCTTGTCCTAGGGACAGCAAAGCTGAGCAACTCTGTGCCGCCATAATAGGTACCGCGATGGCAAGTGCGACGCAGCATGCAACATCGCCGAATGCGCTCACGACCTCGGCGATTGCGGCTCGGATGAGGTGCTCGCAAAGTGCCTTCCGGAAACACTGGCGAACACCTCGCTCAAGGATGCTCCTAATGCCGGCAACTCGACCTCCTTCCTGGAAGTGTGCGACTTCGGAGCGGAAGAGGAGTGGCGTTGTCCCAGCGAGTATGAGCTCAGTGCCCGGAACACCATCTTCAAGGAGGGGCTAGCCGCGTCAGAGACGAATATGCGCGTCGATGTATCATTTGAGATTGACTTTGCGCAGCCGCTCCTCCTTGGCTTTCAGACTTCCGACCAGAGCCTCATTGTGAAGGCGAGCATGCTGTACCGCGCGCAGTGGGTCGACAGCCGCCTCGCTACCGCGCCCTGCCGCAAGGTCCTAAGCGAGGCGCTGAAGGTTGAGAGTACCTCGAACTCCGCCGAAAGAGCCGTCGCCAGTCAGCTCGGGGGCATGCACTGGCTGCCCGCCGTCACGGTGACCGCGGGAGAGAATGGTGGGAACACTTCGACCACCGAGGCGTCCTTCTACTACAATGAGACGGGCGTGCCTTTTCTAGACGAGAACAATCCCGTTACGAGTCTGGACGCAAATTGCTCACACTGCGCCGTGCTCCGAGCCAAGGTCGTGGCGACAATCACACACCCGGAGCTCGACTTCTCTCTCTGGCCGTTTGACCAGCACCTTGGCCGAGGACCCCCCCCAGAGACTCGTGGTCAGACCCTCCGGGCCCTTGATTTTGCACCTCATTTCGCAGCCTTTTTTCGAAGAAAATCATCCTCTGGAGCTACATGAGCCTTGCTGGCCAGTTTCTCCAAGATATTGGACTTTCAGCCACGATTTCACAACTTTGGGGGCAAAATCGGCTCTCTGGCGGCTATTCCTAGCCCACGAACTGCTGGGGGGTGCCCACCACATGCTAGGGGGGGGGTCCCGACCCCCCCAGAGGCTTCCCCACATGCTAGGGGGGGGGTCCCGACCCCCCCAGAGGCTTCACCACATGCTAGGGGTGGGGTGGGGCGTGCAGAGAAGCGCGCCCCCCTCCCTGGAAGCGATGTCCGCCTGCTCCTGCCACGAGCAGGATTTTGGAAGGACGATCAGGGGGACAGGTGGGGCTCTCCTGCTCCTGACAAGGGACACGACAGGCTCGCAGCGCGGTGCACGGTGGAATCCCAACTCCACTGGCGGTCTCATCTCAGTCTAGCGACCTGCCTCCAGCTTCTCGCTGGCAGTCTCTCGCAACCACAGGCACACTGAACACAAGGGTGGCAGGGGCGGCGGCACGAGTCTCCCACATACTATGCGGGCCTCACTAGAGGTGCGGCCTGCGCGTGTCCTCGCCCCCTTGGGAAGGTCTTGAGGGGGGAGGGGAAGGTGCTGTGTGTCTGTGCATGCATGCATGCATGCATGCATGTGTGTGTGTGTGTGTGTGTGTGTGTGTGTGTGTGCGTGCGTGTGCGCGCGCGCGCGTGGAGCTGTGGAGCCGCCCTGAACGCCACGAGGGCGCCCCGAGCGCCGTAGCGCCGCAAGCGCCGGCGAGCGCCGTCGGCAGCGCGCGCACCGCCACCCAAAAGCGGAGGTACATCAGGAGCCGCAGCCGGCCTGCTCAACCCCGCAGCCGCGGTGGCGCGACCGGACCGCGGTTCGCTCCAGGCGCCTTTTGAGCGGCCGCACATTGCTCGGTACCCCCCCTGCACATCTAAAGCCATCCCTGCTGCTAGGGGGGGGGTCTGACCCCCCCAGCAGCAGCAGAGCGTTGCTGCTGGGGGGGGGGCCTGACCCCCCCTGCAGCAGAGCGCTGCTGCTGGGGGGGGGGGGGTCCCGACCCCCCCCAGCAGCAGAGCGCACGGACCCAGCTCTCCCGCCTCTTCGCCGCCGCCCCCCCTCCACCCTCGGCTCGTGTTTGAGCGTACGCTCGAGGCGGTTGTGTTCACCGCGCCTTCGAGCCCGGTTGGCAGTAGGAGGGCCCGCCGGTGAGACCACTAAATAAATAAAAACGGACACCTCTCTACTGTGAGATGGGTAAAAAAAATTTTTGGTGTCAACCATAAATTCTCGCCACACTTGGAACACATGCTACTTACAGCTGCTGTCTGTACAGAGATGCCAGCACCCCCCACAGGCAGAGCGCTCCTGCTGGGGGGGGGGGTCCGGACCCCCAGCAGCAGAGCGCTGTGAGTGAGTGAGTGAGTGAGTGAGTGAGTGACACACACACACACACACACACACTCACAGCAGAGCGCTGTTGCAGCTGGGGGGGGGGGGGTCCCCTCCCGACCCTCTCCGCAGCAGAGCGCTGCTGCTGGGGGGGGGGGGCGGCCATGGCTTTAGATGTGCAGGGGGGGTACCGAGTGTGCGGCTTGTTTTTGATTTTTTGACCACAACACAGTCACACGACAACGGGCGGAGAGCCGCCCTACACGGCCGACTCCACCGCAAGCGGGTCCGGGCTCGCCTCCCTCGCCTCCACCGGCGCGTACCCCGACCGCCCTCCCCGCCGACTGCGCGCCGCTGCCGGCTTCTCCGCCGGCGGGCCCGCGAGCCGGCGGCAGCAGAGCCAGCTCCCGACGCAGCCGCCCACCCACGCGACGGCCACCTGTTCAAAGCGGCACGCGCGTGAGCCGACGACGCCGTCCGCAGTGTCGCCCGCCCGGCGGCCGTTGCGACCGCGGCGAGGGCCGCCCACGGCGGGATCGCGTCGTGGCAGAGGGGCGCGCGGCCGAGTGGATCGGCGAGCAGCTGGCGACACACGACCGCCGTCGCGGCCGACGGCGCCGGCACCGACGCGGCGGACGCGTCCAGCTGGGTGGCGCGGAGCGAAGTGCCGCTCGCTTCACGCGTCGCGTAAACCGCGTGTGCGGCGTGCGCCGTCTCGCCCCCAGTCGGCGCGCCGCCCGCGCCGCTCGAGGCGTGGAGGAGGGCGCCGAGCGACCAGTCGAGGGTGGTGCCGTCGATGGAGCGAGCCACTGCGATGGGCGCGTCGGGGGGGATCGAGACGAGGCGACGAAGCAGCTCGGAGACATAGAGGCCCGAGAAGCAGCCGAGCCGCGCGTGCCGCCACTCCAGCGAGTGGTGCTCCGCCGCGGCGGCGCGGCTCCACGCCGCGCGCGCCTCGCCGGCAGGCCTAGAGGAGGGGGGGGGCTTGGATAAGGTGGAAAGCGGCGGGAGGGTGGGGGGGGGGGGGGAAGGAGGGGTCCCCTGCCGCACGCAGCGGCGCCGCGGCGCGCAAACTCGGACGGGGTAACGAGGAAAATGCCGGCGGGCCGCGCGAGGCCCAACTGCAACGCCGTGTAGTAGTAGTTGCCCGCGCCGTAGAAGCGGCCGAGGAAGGGGCGGGACAGCCGGCCGCACCGCTCGACAGCGTAGCAGTCGTCGACCTGAATGGATGAGGAAAGACGGCTGAAGCGGCTCGGAGGAGGGTCTCGCGTCGCTGGCTGGCGCCGCGTGCCTGCGCGAAGAGCCGCCCGATGAGCGCGCTGCACGCGTCGGCGTCGCCGAGGCCGTAGATGGTGATCCGCCTGCTAGAGACGCCACGGCTGCGTGATGAGCGGCCGCTGCTTTCGTTCCGCCCTGCGCGACCCCTCCTCCTGGGGGAGGTGTGGCGTGCCGTGGTGCGACGCTCTGTGAGGTGGTGTGAAGATCTGTGGTGGCGGTGCGACGCTCTGTGTGCTGCTGCTGCTGCTGCTGCTGAAGCACGCTCACCGCCCTGCTGTCAACGAAGACGCCACGCGCGCACGTGCGTGGCGGGTCGGGGTGGCGCCCCACCGCGCCCCCCAGTCAAACTCGTGCTCGTCCCCCCGCAAGAGGCAGGGGTGTCCCAGCCGAAGCCTCAGACCGCCGCCGCCGCCGCCGCCGCCGTCGCCGCCGCCACCTTCGTAGCTGCTACTGCCGCCGCCGCCATCGCCCTCCTCGCCGCCACCACCGGCCGAGTCGGAGCCCTCCGGCGACTCCTTTGCGCGCGACAGCGGCCGCACCGGAAAGCGCGACAGTCTCCGGTTCTCCCCTGCCCCGCCTCCCGCCATCCCGCGCGCCACCTCGCCGCCCGCCGCTCCACCCTCCGCCACCCCGGCGTGCTCGTCGCGCTCGTGCGCGAGCAATCGGCAGGAGCGATAGAACGCCTCCTCCCGCCCCAGGTGCAGGTGCGACCGACGAAACACGAGCCGCTCCGCCTCCGCGTGTTCTTTTTCTGCCGCTCCATCGATGCCGACGCCGACGCGGCCGAGCGGGGAGGGAGGGGCGAGCACGGCGGCGGAGGCCCGCTCGCTGTCTTTCATCTCTCCGGCGCTGACGCCCTCGGGCAGGACGTGCGCCACCTGCCCAATACGGCAGCGGGGTGTGAAGAGACGCCGGTGTCAACTGTCGTCGTATGCGAGATTCTTGTGACTTGTGTCTAGTCTTATCACCCCACTGTGAAGAGACGCTGTTCACACCCGTTGACTACGACATGCGCCGCCGCCTGCGTCGACGCTCCGCCGAGGTCAAGCCAACCCGCCGCCGCCGCCTCCGCCACCTTTGCCGCCGCCGCCTCCGCCGCCTCCGCCGCCTCCGCCGCTTTCGCCGCTTTCGCCGCAACCGCCGCCACCGCCGCCTCCGCCACCGCCGCCTTTGCCGCCGCGTCCGGCGTTCCCTCCGATGCCTCGCTAGGCCGCCGCTCCCCGCCGGCAAGGTTGGCGGCGTCTCGCCCGAGCAGCAAGTGGTTGACCGAGATCCAGCCGTAGACCGCCTCCTCCTCCCCCGAGATGAGGCGTGCCTGACATGGAGGGCTCGAGGCAGGGTCCGAGACGGCTCGAGGCAGGGCCCGTGTTCCGCACCACCTCTGAGGAGGCGCGCGCCTCGCCAAAGGCAAACGGGCAGCGCCACTCCTCCGCCGGCGCCGCTGCCTGCCCGGTCAGGAACCTCCCCACGGTGTCGAGCAGCGCCTGCGCCTGCGAGGCGGGCAGCAGCCGCAGGCCCGCCGTCGCGTACAGGTAGACGGGCGTGGCGGCCTGAGCTGCTGCGGGCACGATCGAGGCGGCGACGCGCACCAGGCCGCTGACCTGCACAGCGGCAACGCTGTGGCTTTGAGCGAGTGCGGTCCAGCTTGGGCTTTGGGCGAGCGTCGCGCGCACCTGCGCTGCGGCGACCTCCGGAGTAGTCGCAAAGGCGCTCAGGCCCGGCCTCACCCGCAGCGCCTCCGCCTGCTCTCCGGCGCTCACTTCCCGCAGGTAGAGCCGCCGACCCTAGAAGAGAGCGGCGAGCGGCCAGGTCGGGTGGGGCGCTGGTGCTGGTGTCTGGGCGTGGGCTGCAGACGGCGAGTGAAGAGCGCTCAGAGCGCGAGTGCATAGTGCAGAGCTTGCTACACGCACTGCCTGCTGCCACCAGCGGAAGATGCGCAAGCGGGTCCCGGACGAGCCGGCGTCGATCACGATGCCGTAGTCGCCAGCCCTAGCGGGCATTGCTGCGACGCACGCAAACGCACAACTGGGCACGGGCCGCCTGCGCCGACGGGGCCTCGCAATGCCCGGGTAAACCGTAAAAAGAATTTTCCGGCCCCCTTGAGAAGAAGCGAGGTTAAAATCCCTGTGTGGTGGCGGCGTGCCGTCCTCCCATCCCTCCCTTGGGGTGTCTGTTTTCTTTCTTTCTTTTTAGAAGAAGCGAGGGCAAGGCTGCCGACTGCACTCCAAGTGCTCCAAGGTTGCGGCAGGCGGCGGCGCCGTCCGTCGCAGAACGAGGCAGAGGAGAGCGACGCGAGAGAGGTAGAAGCGACAAGAGAGAGAGAATGACGAGAGTGGGACGACCGCGAGGTGGCATGAAGGTTGCAGCGAGAATCGGCACTCGAGGCTCCTCCCAATCCTCACACTGGGGGCTAAAGCCGTGCTACACACACATTTGCATTTGCATCTACCCCTCGATCGCCCCGATCGCCTCCGTCACCGCGGCCACGAGCCGCGACGCCTCCCCCTCGCTCCGCGGCCCATCCCTCCTCCAGCTCGCCGCGTCGTGGTGCCTCGCCGCGTTCGCCCAGATGCGCAGCGAGTGCAGCTGGCTCCGTAGCTCGGTCGGCAAGCCGCACTCGCGGTGCCAATAGTTGATGCGCTCCTCGAAGCCGTCGGGCGCCGCCGCAGAGCGCGAGGCGTAGACGGCGTCGAGGCGCGGCATCAGCGTCTTGAAGGCGAGCAGCATGTTGCCCTGGATGCGCGCCTGCGCGTCGCCGCCCGTGCGCATGCCGCGCACCTGCACCGAGAGCGGCGAAGGCTCGTACCAGGTGGTGCGGGCGGCTGCCGCAGCGGCCTCGTCTCCAAAGGCCAGCGCAGCTTCTTCCACCCCCGCCCCGCCCTGCGCGCCAGACAGCAGCGCCCGGAGCGTCAGCAGCGCCTCGGGCAGTCTGGGCCGCTTGCGCAGGCTGTCGTGGCAGAGGCTCTTATGCCCGTCTCCCGCCTTCGCGAGGTCCTTTACTGCGCGCGCCGCGTCGACTGGCCATCCCGCAGCCACGTCGGCGACCTTCAACTTTCTTTCTTTTACTGGTCGTTTCAGATAAGCAAGCATGGAGGCCATGAAGCTCCCGTACGACTTCCGGGTGGATTCGAATTCTTTTTGCCAACCTGTGTTGTGTTAGGCGGCTAGTCACCTCGCCGTCGGCCGCACCTCTCCACCTCGCCTCCGCCTCCGCCACCGATGTTTGCTCCCGATTATGGCGCCGCGTCGAGCCACATCAAGACGCTGATGTCCGAACGCGAAGACTTTGTCGCGGCAAACCGCTTGCAGGCCGCGCGGATCAGCGAGCTCGAGGCAGCGGTGGAGGCAATCTCGACCGAGCGCGATGAGGCGACCGCCGAGAGCCGAGCGGCGGCCCTGCTGGTCGACCGGCTCGCGACCTCGAACAACGAGAAGGAGCAGACGATCGAGAAGCTGCAGACCGCGGTTCGGCTGCTGTGGGGCGTGCAGCAGGCGGCACAGGCGGCCGAGTAGCCATTGAGCAGACGCACGCAATGCGAAACGCAGCGAGAGCCTGAAAGAAGAATTGCACACACACAGCTGTGTCCACTCCAAACCTCAGCTCAGCTCTCGGGGTTCCACTCTGCAGGCCAAAGCGGACGAGGTGTCATCGCTGTGTCGGGAGGGCGCGGGCGTGTTGGAGTCCTTGCAGGACCTGCTGGAGGAAGTCTCGCCGAGGAGGGAGGCGCAGGCTAACACGGTGCAGTACCGACCGTCGGTGGGCTGATATTTGAGATCGACACAGACGCGAGCGAGTTGGAGGGCTTGGGCGTTGGGTTACGCGGGCGGTGAGCTCGTGCGGCGGTGCGGCGGTGATGTAGAGTCGGTGTGGAACTGTGGTGGAATGCGCGGCGTGGCGTACACTCGACAATTTTGAACAAATTTAACTAAACGTGTTTCGCGGTGGCAAGCCGCAACGGCCAACGCTCGAATGCCCTCTCTCCGTCTCGGTGTGAGTCCCGCGGCTTCATGCTTCTTCCGACGAGAGCAAAAATCTCACCGGCTTCTGTTCACCAATCCGCAATCATCATAAATGCAACGCCCTCGGGCCCGAGATACGCGGCGGCGGCGGCAGCGAGAAGCGCTGCAGCCAGCACGGGCGGGCCGGCGCGCCGTAGCCTCGCGGCGAAGGCACGGCCACGGATCTGCGCGACGCCCAAGCCCTCAATGGCGTCGCCCGCCTGCAGGATGGACGGGTCGTGCCGCATCACCTGTTGGAAAGCGGAGAAGGGTGGGACGCGCGCCGAAATTGCCTCGGTCAGGGTGAGGTGGCTGCCGCACGCCTCGATTGCCTCCTCCTCAGACCCAAGCTGCGAGAGGGAGGGCAGGTGGGCTGGCGGTGAGTGGCGCCCGGACGCTGCTCCCCCGAGCGGAGCGGCGGTGCGCTGTCTGCAGGCGGGAGGTCGGGGCACCTTGAGCGCGAGCAGGCGCTTGGACTCGGCAAAGACGAACCGGTTGCTCACCTGATGGCAGTGGCGGCGCCGTCAGAGGAAGCGTGAGGTCTGGTCAAAAGGACTGGCGGACTGGCGGGCTGCGCACCGCCGGGTTGAGCAGAGACGGCTCGCGCCGCGCCATCTCATACACTAGCTCGGCACGCAGGTCGACGGCGCGGTTGAGCCCGCGGCTCAGTCCGGTCTTGTCGCCCTTGACAGAACGGCTCGCGTCGAGCCGGACGACGCCGCCACCCGCGATGCTCGTTGAGCCCTCGACGGCATAGAGCGTCTCGAGGTCTCGCCACAGCGTCGCAATGTTCTCGCGGTACTCGAGGGTCGGGTTCCATCGCCGTGTGAGCGGCCAAGCCTTGACGGGCATCCGTGGCAGCCCCGTATAGCCGCCCATCGCCGGCGGAGCGTGCCGGGCCGGCGGTGGCGCGAGGAGCGGCGCCAGGAGGAGCGTGGAGCCAGGGAGTAGCATGTTCGCGACTGGTGAGTGCTGTGTGTTGAGACAGAGAGAAGACTGCGGGCGCCACGCCAGCTAAAAACCTATATAAAATGAAGTGGGGGGCACGGGACGCGGCACAAACGGGGCACAAACGCCAGGCTACAAAGACGGGGAGGCACGTAGTGACGCAGGGGAGTCTAGGCGACGGCGGCGTCCTCCGACGCCGCGGCGAGCCTGAGCTCGGTCGCAATCTCCTCCGCCGCCGCGAGCTGCAGCGCTAAAAACCTAACAATATGTTCTTAAGAGCTACATACACTAAAAAAACTAGCTCCTGCAATCCGCCGAGTTCTGTTTTGGCCGCCGCCGGCTTGAGTGTTGGGTAAGGCCTTAAGCCCAGCCGCCATGACTGACAAACCAACGCCACCTGTGCTTGACGAGCTAGCGAAGCTGCGCGGCTCGATCCAGTACGAGCGATCGCACTCCATCATCGGAGGCGATCAGACGGTCTGCGCGCCGCTCGAACGCGCCCACTCCATCATCGGAGGCGACAGAACGGGCGGCGACCGCGACAGTGCCTGCTCGAGCATTGACAGCGCCCGCACAAGCACCGACAGCAAGGCAAAGGATTGACAGTCCCATCTCGTGCCGAAGCTACTAGCTCCCAGGCGCCAACAGTCATGCGCTTTGCCGGCGAGGTGCGGTCGGCGTTGTGGCAATATATGCTCCTCGCTGTGGAATCTCTTGGCCAGATTGAGGGTGGATTGCTGTGGCTGCGGTAGCGTACCTCCCACAAAAACACCGTGTGGCTGCGTAGCGTATGCACCTCTCCTCCGCGCTACGTATGGAAAACGGACAGGACAAACGCAAACATCAAACAACGAACAAGAGCTCGCCACGTGCATCTCGAGAGAGAGAGAGCACAGAATACCGCTCTAGACGCAGACGGTGTGAGACATGGTTGGCCCAGCCACACGACCGCACGAGCCACCGCTTCACACCAACACACACGCGGGTGGGCAGGCATCGGCGGGCGTTCGGGGCGAGGCGCGAGCGGCTAGCTCGAGATGTATGTCCATGGACCATGGCGGCGGCGCAAAATCTCCTATCTCGACCGGCATCAATCATAGAGATGGCCAGATGGTTTTCATGTCTTGTGGAGCTTCTTTTGCGCGCCGGAACGGCATCGGAGCGTGTGTCAGCTGGGACAGCTCGCGATGAGAGCGGCCACCGAGCGCGTTTTGCGGCGGACGCCACATGAATTTATGTATGTTGTATGTAAAAGAGGGAACCAGTCGAGAGGACAGGGGAGGGACGCGGCCAGAAAGAGGGCGGGCGCCGGGTTTTGCCTTGATGTTCACACCTTCACAGTTCCTCTCACCTCTCCCGTAATTCTTTACAGCAAGACAAGACTGTTTATCTATTCAATGCCTAAGTTGGCCTGGCAGCCTCGCTCCTCATCCGCGCCCGCATCTGCTCGACAAGCAGCTCGAACCGCGGTGTCCCTTCCCCCGTGGCAGCGTCCTGCCAAGTGCCCGAAATCGCAGGCGACAGTGGCGGTCGCGGCACTGGCGATCGCTGCGGCAGGAGCGGCGTGGCAGGCGTAGGGCGATGCAAGCGGGAGCGGCCGCGGTGTCCGCCGCTTCCCGCCGGGTCCACTAGCCGCGACAGCGACCCAATTTCGCAACATGGCCCGCCGGCCGCAAGGGCCACCGCCTCGTGCTGAATCTCCTCCTACGGGCCGCCACCGAGAGAGGTAAGTGAAGGACGATCAGGGAAAGGAGAGAAATTTTTTGGCCAACAAAGGGCCTGTAGCGCCTCGAGCCGGCGTCGCCACGAATCCGCCTGCAGAGAGCCAACTATCGCCGCGTGAGAGTCCGCACTACTGCAGGGGCGGCGGCGGCGCGCGCACACCGCCGCGTGAAACTGCGCCGTTGTCCCAGCCGCCGCCGCTGCTATTGCTGTCTTTGCCTCCGTCGCATTATCATACGGCGGCGAATGCTCAAGCTGCCACGGTGGCGATGAAGCGTGCTGCGGCGGCGGCGGCGAGGGCGGCCGCTTGGGTGGCGAGGGCACGCGTTGCTGCGTAGGAGGCGTGGGGGGAGGCGTGGTCTCGACGCAATGCTGGACTCCGTCGGCCGTCGCCTCGACCGCCGGAGCCGCACGGGGCAATCCCTCCCGCTCCGTCGCCAGCTGAGCGCAGAGGGCCTCTGATTCGGCCGCAACTGCCGCCGCCGCGAGATTTCTCGCCTAAAGGGGAGGTGGGCGCAGGAAGCTATCGCCGAGGTGTGGGGCGGCGGGGAAGGGCCGGAGCCGCTCGCGTCGTCGAGCTGCTTCTCCAGCCACCGCAGCTGCGCCACCGCCTCCTCAAGCCGCGCTTCTGTCCCGGCTGCGCACGCCTCCGCCCGGGCTGCACGCGCCTCTGCTGCCGCAAGTCGTGATCGCAGCCCTGCCTCGCAACCATCGCCGCCGCCAACGCAACTACTGGCGTCTCGCCCCTTGCTCCCGCCACCGCCAGCGCCACCAGAACCCTGGCATCCCATTCTATCGCTGCCAACATCTGTAATGCAGCCGGCTTTTGTGGCAGCGGCAGCGACAGCGGCAGTTGCAGCGACAGTGGTTGCTGCGGAGGAGCATTCCGAGGCGGCGACCTGCGCGCTCTGCCGCGAGCCCGTGCTCTGCTACGAGGCGGGGCGCGCGCCGGCGGCGAACCAGTGACGCGCCGCGAGGGGCACGCGTCGCGCCGCGTGGTGAGCACGCGGCCACGTACGGCCTGTACGTCGTTCGGTTTTCGCGGTTTCCGGAGATTGTGTGGGCAAGGCGATTTTACTGGAGTTTGGACGTGCGCCTCCCACGCCACCCTCCGGAGAGATGCGACCTCGGCCTCGAGCTCCTCGCAACGCCGCGTTGCGCCGCGGCGCTCGCGCTGACAGCCGAGCAAGCGGGCTCGCAGCGATCGGACTTCATCGTCAATGCTGCGTGTGGCGGACATCGGCCAGCGGCGACAGCAGGTTCGTCGTACAAGTATTGCTGCCTGTTGCTGCTGCTGGCTGTGCGCTCTTGTTGTTGCCTTCGTTGTGTGTTTGTTTCTGTGTTTTGTGTATGAGTCGGATCCGGGCGCGCGAACGCTCGCGAGTAATGGAAAGAAAGAAAGAAAGAAGACAGACACGCCAAACGAGGGATGGGACGAGGACAGGGTCCCCACCTGCACGAGCAGGATTTTGGAAGAACGATCAGGGGGACAGGTGGGGCTCTCCTGCTCCTGACAAGGGACACGACAGGCTCGCAGCGCGGTGCGCGGTGGACTCCCACATCCACTGGTGGTCTCATCTCAGTCTAGCGACCTGCCTCCAGCTTGTCGCTGGCAGTCTCTCCTACCACAGGCACACTGACACAGGGGAGTAATGGAACGCTTTGCGCCACGCGCCTTCAGTAATTTCCCTTTTTTAATTTCTTTACTTTGCTTGCCGCCAAGCGCCTTGAGCAGCTTATCAAACCCCGGAAGCAATGCTCAAGCTGCTCCTGCTCCTCCCCTGCGTAGGTGTCCACGCGAGGCTCGGCGCGGCGTCTGCGGCTCTCGCGTCGCCGTCTGCGGCTCTCGCGTCGCCGTCTGCGGCTCTAGAACTGACGCGCCTGCCTCGGACCCTTGCCGCCGAGACTCTGCAGCTCGCTGCTGCGTCGCCGGACGCTGGACTGATCGCCCGCTGGCTCGGCTTCCTCGTCGGCGCGGGAAGCCTCCTGCTCTACACGCCGATCGCTGCGCGCGTGTACCGCCAGCGAAGCGCCGATGGCCTCACTCTCTCGACGTGGTGGCTCAAGCTGGCACCCCTAGATGCCACAGTCGGGTTCCTGTAGCTACTGCACGAGAGGTAACGACCTGATTCTTTGATTCGCAGAGTTTTGAGCGCGGCTGAATGGCCTTTCACTCCAGGCTGCTGTCGTACACGTGCTCCGACGCGTACAGCTTTCGGAACGGCTACCCACTCTCCACCTACATCGAGACGCTCATCATCACCGTCGAGGCGTGCGGCGTGCTGCTGCTCGTCGCCCACTTCCAGCGGCGGCTCGACGCGGCCTTTGCAGGCGCGTTGCCGGCCCTCCCGCTGCGCTCTCCGGATATCGATCCAAGCCCGAAGCGGAAGCCCCTCGTTCCCGCCTGCTGCGTGCATTCTATCGCTATGCGGTCCCGTTCAGTCCCGCCACGCCCGCCGGGGCGTGCTAGTCGCGCTCCCAACGCAGTCTTGAGGAAAGAGCGGGCGTGCAGCATGTGCCGCGCTGCTCCTGTCTGCAGGCCTCGCCCTCAGCTACCTCGCCGCCGCCACCTGGGCGCTGAGCGCTGCGCCGCCCGAGGCACCTCGCCCACGAGACCTCCCCTACCCCCACGGTACCCGAACCCACCCTCCCCTACCCCACGGTACCTGAACCCATCGCCCCTGCGCCGCCCGAGGCACCTCGCCTGGCGAGACCTCGAGCAACCCTCACTCGACGGATGATGATTGCGAAGACAACACCCCGCCCGCTCACAGGCCATCGCGCTGGGCCAGTCCGCGGCCACCGCGCTCAACACGTGCGCGCTGCTGCCGCAGATTGCGCAGAACGCGGCGCGGCGCAGCCCGGGAGGCTTCTCGCCGGTCACGGCGACACGCCCCGCGTAGATGCGGCGCGAGCTCTCTCTCTCTCTCTCCCTCTCTCTCTCTCTCTCTCTCTCTCTCCCTCCCTCCCTCCCTCCCTCCCTCCCTCCCTCCCTCCCTC